AGAGAGAGAGAGAGAGAGAGAGAGAGAGAGAGAGAGGAGAGTGAGTGAGTGAGTGGGAAAGAGAGAGAGAGAGAGAGAGTGTGTGTGTAAAATATACCAGCATACTTGAGAAGGAAAATAAAGATAGAGAGTAAAGTAGCATCAGAGGAGACACGTTCCGTGATTCCCTATGGTGTTCTATAACCATCATGTACATATATTTATATACAGGTACTTCTCCCATATTCTTTTTCCATCACTCCTCCTGTTCCTCGTCTTTTTATCCCACTTCTTCCTATGCTTTCCTTTACTAGTTACAATGAACGCATTATTATGCTACCTGCGCACGATACCGGAATAGAGACACCCCTGGTGCTGAGATCTCGATTTTTCTCAGGTGTAAATCCCTCTCAGTATAGCCATTAGAATCTTACTTTAGTGTCGAAGAGGTTGGCCTTTATTGGAAATGTTATATGTAACTTGGTTGGCATATATAAGTCTTACTCGGTAATTCAGTATAGTATACGCAATGGCGCACTCTCTAAACACACGCAAGGACATACCTTGCACAGGAAATTGAACAGACTGAGTCTACTTTTACTCAAGCTTAGATTTGTATTTGCTCTCAATGGATACTGCCTACTGACAGTGCACATCGATGACGACGAATAATCGTTCGGGTCCAATAATGCCTCTTCGTCAGTGCAATTGAAGTATTGCCAGGCTGAATTTGTATCTTTTGTTACCTTGGTCTTTGAACCTGTTAAATCTTTTAGTATTCCTTTAGGCGCCTCTTTGCAATTTTTTAATTTCATCCGAAAAGCATTGTTGACACGATCGATCCAAGATGGCAGTGGCCGTTCAACGGAAACTTTTATCGCTGAGGAAATGACTCGACTCGTCTCACTGACTTCATTCATAGCCCGTGGCGCAATTTGCACGAGCCGTGGTTTCGCACCTGGATGATGGTATGGAACAACGACCCTACCCTCGTACTCAGGACTGTAGTTCATCTGCCGTAATATTCGTCTCAACAACTTATCTAATGCTTTGTTCAATCGTCTTTTCCGGCGTGTTTGTCTACCATATGTGGGTAACTTCGCTAGCTTCCATTTAACAAATCCTTTGGTTCTCTTCGCCTTTTTTTCATACGTTGTTGTTTGCACAGATGCATCCACGTTCAGAATCGTCTTCGAGGAGGCTTGAGATTCGTCGGTAACTTCTGAACAGCCGCTGTCGTCAGATGCGATGCTTGAACTACGAGTTGATCCTTGAAGATGGGTAGAAGAATCTAATGAATTTGTCTTTGATTCAATCTCAGACTTTAATATCATTGCTATACGTTCACTTAACTTTTTATTCGTTACCGGATGTCTCTTTGTTGCATCGTGCCTCGTAGGGAGAGTCGTGTCGGATTTCGAGTTCAACCATTTCCGGTTGCGCTGGTAGTCTTCACTGCTGGAGTCATCGTGAGCATCGGCAAGTGTCTTCCAGGACACAGTTTTCGATGATAACGATGTATTTGCTGAAAAATCTTCATCGTTATCGTCATTCACTAAACAGTCTTCTAACATGTTACGTAGCTTCGACTGAAGCTTATGAATTTCTTTGAGGCGAATCAGAATGTCATTCATATCTCTATTGGACATGGCGACATCCCTCTATACGAAAATCCTCAACGAAGCGTGACAGAATCCAATTGAACTATGGTCGATGCCTGTCTCCTTTGTGAAATCCGTAAATTTTATCGCAGCCACGAATGTCTTGCCATTGATTTTGTACGTGAGTATTGGTAGCCCTGTTTTCTTCCACCTGTCACTCCACGAGTGAAACGTTAAACGGGACGAACTTCAGAGTGATGGTACTTCTCAATGCATAACCAAGATCCTGTAAATGAAATGATTGAGTTCGTCTGAATAATAAGAAGGATAAAAATTAAACGTGGAAATGAATTTGAATTAGGAACTAAGAAGTGTCGCTACTTAACCAAGAACCTTTGAAACATGCAGCCATGTCTTCTTACACGTCCAGTAAAGGAAATTCGTCATTCTGTCCGTGCCCCACGAGGTCGAGGGTTGAAGATGCCACTCTGGATGATATTGCAGCAGTGGTAGCAGGTCTTAATGATAAAGTATTACTACTTCGCAAGGATATACTAGGTCTCAAGTATTTGGACACGACGATCCACTCGGGCTCTGCAAGTCCAATTGGGTAAACGTTTATGAGAAAAAAGTGTCTCACCTTGAACAGGAAGGATGTGAGTGCTTGCGCGAGGTACCGAGGTACTCGTGCTTTTTATATGTACTTTTCTTAGTGATCATCGAGAAGCTTTACTATGGTACTCGTGCGGGGTACTACTAGAAATTTCGAAGGTTTATTACAGTAGACAATTCTTTGTGCTTGGATTTGTTTGACCTGTTCCAAGTACCTCGCGCGAGTACCATGACGATATGAATATTAATAAAATAGAAATTGTGTTAATATCTATTTTAGTTATGATGCCAGAGAAATACGGCCTAGTCTTGAAAAGAGGACACTAACTCAGACGTCACATAAAAGGGGTAAACGCATTCAGGAAGCTGGAGATTCTATACACAGTGACGAATCTTCTTTGAAGTCTTTTAATGGAGAGTACACAAAGTCAAAAGCTAGGAACTTGACAAAACCGAAAAGAAGTTCTGTATTTAAGTTCGGAAAATCGCAAGGAAGTAAATATGAAAAAGATAAGAGACGGGAGAAGTTGTCTGAGTATTCTGGGAATTACGAAATTTTTGAGCAGCCGACGTTTTTTCCTGCATCGAAAATTGAGGTTATAGAGTCGCCAAAGGTGCAATTTTCGGGAAAGCATAAAAAAGTAAAAAAGAAGCCGTCGAGAATCAAGGAATTCATACGTAAAGGAAGAGTGTCACAGTCGAAATTTCAAATGGATGAAGTGACGAGGAATAGAGGCAATGGTGCTACATTGATTTTGAATGATTTTCAAGAAAGAGAAAAATTAACAGGAGGACAATCGTTGCGCAGTCCGGATGTTCTTCACAAATGTCAGAGTATACAGAAATCCCTGAATCTCGCGAACAGTGTTTACTGTGATTGCGAAATGGCACCGCCAGTCTTTCGTAAAATTGTAAGAAAAAGAATTTCGAGAGGAGTACAGTACGAGGATCCCAAAATATCAAAACCCAACGAACGTGCCTGTCTGAATTGTTTCAAGCCTTGTAAGTGCTCTAAGAAACATAGAAAGAAAATGGCAAATTCGTCAAAATCTAAAAAACCGGGAACGCCCGTGGATAAAGATAGCGTCGAAGTTGTTTTCCGACCTGAAGATCAGATAGTAAATTTGTCCAAGCGAGAAAATTCTAAAAAAATTAATCCATCTTCTGATCAAAATGACGTAAGAAATGGCAGACAGAAATTGAATAGTACTGAAATTTATGGGTTTGACACACATCATCTAAATATACCTCTTCATGAATCCCTAAAAGGTATTAAACACACGGAAGGAATTTACTACTCAAGTAAAGAAATTCCGAAACAGTCTAAAAAAATGTCAGACAGAGAGACAAGAGGTAAATACAAAGAGAAAAATGCTGAGAGACAATTCACAAGATATTCTAAAGATTCTCATGCATTAAATGAAATGCAACTAGAGAAATTGAAACATGTCAGAAAAAACGATCAGAAGTTAAAAAACAATGACCAATTTATCAGTAACGGTGATACCGCTAAAACGATAGACGTTTTGAATAATGGGGATTACACACCTAATATAATTTCACTTAATGAGCCAATGAATAAAAGAGCGCAAAGAATGTCAGGAGGAGGCGAAGAGGAGTATGAATTGGCGAAATGTTTCAAAACTCAAAAAAGAAGTGTTTTCGGCATTGATAATACCAAAAATCAATCAAACAATCTTAGTGACTGGTCCATGACTAAAACTATTTTTAAAAAAATCACAGGAGGGCTATTTTCAAATCAAATTTCTCTATCTAAGGATCAAATAGAAGAAACAAGAACTTCAAGAAATAATACAATTGATGAAACCCTTCACGGATTACGTTGCAACCGACAAATAAATGTTAATAACATTAAAAAACGGCTTGATTCTTGTCTTGTTGATTTAAATAATATAATGCTTGACGTATCATTTATATGTAAAGAAAATCGGACTGCAAGAAGGTTTGCTGATGAACCTAAATAAATTGCTGACAATTAGAAAATATTATTAAAAGGAAGCATATAACATTTCGTAACATAATATGTATTCGCCTATCATCAGGAAATAGGTATACGTACTCACATTCATTCTGTAATTAAAAATCTAAGACGAATAATAAAGTGCATCTTTTTCAAGCCTTACGTAACCATATAAGACATATATATGTATAGCGGGTCGTGCAAAGTATAACGTGTTGCCACCAGTTAAAACGTCAACATCAACAAGTGATACTGACAGATTGCATTTAATAATTGTGAACTATTATGTCACAGAGGATAATATATAAAGAAATTTATGGAGATAATGAAAGAGTGAATGTATTTGTATCTAGTAAAGGTATATACTATATAATTATTACTAATTTTTTGGGTTTGGAAGTCCATGTTAACCTCTATAATCTTGTAAGCAGATGATACTTCAATAAGAAAGGTGAAATCCACAATTAACCATAAGTCATTATCTGGTTCTACTGTGATATTATTTCTTAAAGAAGTTTTTCTACCGCAAGGATTTCCAGACAGTGTTCATCCTGATTATATCCCTTATCAAATATGGGATACCGTTCAGGTATAATATAAATAATAATTTTGTTATCTGTAATTTATAAATTTGATGACTGTTTAATAAAATTACTACAAGAGTTGTATGAGCATTATTGTATTACTGTAATATTATAGGCATTTGCCAGTACTATTATGGGTACCCTTACAACCCATGCAATTATGCAAGGTGTAGGCGTAGGAGAGTCTACGGCAACTCCACTAGCAGCTGCAATTACATGGATTTTAAAAGATGGTACTGGAATGATAGGACGAATTGGATTTGCCTGGTGGATTGGGTAAATTGGTTGTATTTTGTGCAGTTTCTTAATATTGTTGAATTCCTTGATAAATGTACAACTTTTTAAAAATTCGAATGTATTTAGAACAGAGTTAGATGCACAGTGTAAAAAATGGCGATTATTTGCTGATTTCTTAAATGATGCAGCAATGGGAATTGAACTAATGATACCATACTATTCTTCGTATTCAACATATGTATTATGCATTTCAATGGCAATGAAGGCTGTTGTTGGTGTTGCTGGTGGAGCAACAAGAGCAGCTTTAACTCAGCATCAAGTTAGAACTTCTTTTAATATTAGACTCTTATTAAAGATAAAAATACCATATTACATGTGATACATCGATACAGGCCCTTCAAAATAATTTAGCTGATGTATCAGCCAAAGATGGAAGTCAGGAAACATTCGTAAATCTGATTGCTTCATTAATAGGAATATTCATACTATCCAATCTACCGCAAGATGGACAGTAAGTTTCACTTTATGCATCTTCTTACATCGTTTATCATCAAAAGAAAAATTTCTTCTAACTTTTTACTACTGGATATGAATATTGAGAGTACCCTGCATACAGATACGTAATGGAATTGTATCTATTCCTGGTGGCAATACATCTTTATGCCAATTACTCAGCGGTTAAGGCACTTTGTCTTAATTCACTTAACGAGGATCGTCTGGCATTAATTATAAAGAGATACTTGCAGACCCAAAATATTCCTAATTCTACTGAAGTTAACAAACAGGAATCAGTGCTACTTTTTCAAAACCCTTGTAAGTAATGTTGTAAATGAAACGCATCAAAGAAATATTCTTTAAATAATGGATAATAAATAATATTTTTCTTTTTTTAGCAAAAGACAATTTCGGCTTTCATATAAAAATGGGTGTTTCGTTAGAAAACGTTATAAAGAAAATGATCTCTACTTCCGATATGGATGCTCTTGTACGTAGGTTTCGATTTGAAAAATATTTACTTGTAATGGACATAAAGCAGAAAACTATTCTCATATCATTTGCAAAAGGTGTAAATTCCTTTGATATACTCAAAGCATACTTCCATGCCAGTCTATGTAGTTTATTCACGTGCATGATTCTAAAGTGGCCTGTGGTAAGTACTTTCTTTTTTCCTTAGACCACGAGTATAATTAAAATGAATATTGTAATTTATTTCTACAGGACATTTTCCTGAAATCTCACTCATGCAACCCGTCATATCCTCTAATGCGGATGTACATTTTTAATAAAAGTACTACACCGAAAGTTACCAATAAATGTGAAAATCCTGCATTTATTATTTTTAATTCGAATGATTTTATTTTTGACGAATATAACGCGTTTATTGCACAGCTAAATAAAAGTGGTGAGTCTTATAGAATCAAGTAATTACCACTTTAATGTTAAAGTATTAATACTAACAGAAAATAAATCTTTAGAATGGATTACAAACACAAATCTACTGCCAGTTGGGGCTTGGAGGGGTTACTGGTCACTCGTAAAGGAATCAAATTAAGGTAGTATGCTTCCTTGCATAGATACAGGGTATATCATCAACATAGTGTAACATTAAAACTTTTTTAATCTGTATTATACCAAACAGGCATATATGCGCATGTATTTCTGATGACTTATAAAAATATAATACAGTTATGACCTGTACAAAATAATGTATTGCGAACCTTTAACTATGACTCTTGTTCTTGCTTCGACCCAGTTTGAGATAAATGTTTTACAATGTCAACCCAATCCCATCCACGTGGTTTTTCACCTTTACCATCTGCTCGACTCCATTGTCGCCGTTTTTGCGCTTTACTCAGTTGTTCCTTTTTAACTTTTTTCGTTGGCTCCTCTTGCTATTAAAAATGTATGATGTACACATTAATTATCTGCTACGAATTCTTCAGAGAAATACATGAATGATGGTACTAGACTTACCAATTGATTTTGATCAGTAATCGTCAATTTATTAGTATCAGCATTAAGATCTGTTATAGTGTCTGGCTGTGGAGCTAACAAATCTGCAAGATGTTCCTGCACAGATTGGAACAACGTGTATGTCATTGCACATCCCAACCACTGTTCAGCTTCCGCTTCCACATGTGCCACCACCTTATCCTTCACTTCTTGCACACTGTATATGCCAATATTCACCTTTAATCAAAGTAATCTAATGCGATATAATTCAGTGCATAAGAGCAAATCACTTACATATGCTTGTTATAGAATGTGTTCATATTGATAGTTGGCTTTTCCGATGGGTAAGACGGTCCCCAAGAAATCTCCAAAAGTAATGATTTAATGTCATCATCCTCTCCATACTGAAACAAATACTATAGTCAGTGATAGTTATTTTTAATCATCTTCTAACTGAACAAGAACCAGTTAGAATATGATCTAAATCTGAATAGTACACAAATAAATGTCAAAGCCTCTAAAATAACAACGATCTAATCTTCAGTTTTGGTTTTGGTTTTTATAAAGATTTGTATTAGATACCAGTACAATTGGGTACTAGGTATATAACAAAATATACATATTTATAAAAAAATAATCCATATGAAAATATTAGACTTATTTATACCTTGTACTGATATGTGGTGGGTGTCAGCTGCTTAAACGCCGCGTCTCCATCGTATATCGAGAGCAATACTTCTCTTTCTTCTTCTTGAAGTTCAGCATCGCTCATTTCTACTGTCTTCTATTATTGGGATGACCTAGAAAACTAATTACTAGCCGCCGCCTTTCAATCATGCATCAAACTTCTAAGGTTAAAACATGGAACGCGTGTGACGATTGGTGACGATCACAAATGAGCCAAACACAAAACTGACAGTAAGCAAGCGCGCTAGTTAGTTCTTGAGATAACCGCCAGGCTTTTTTGGGTGCAATCTAAAGCTTCTATTACAAAACTTTCAAATTTTTTAGTGATACCCGTTTATTTACTTATAGAACACATCCAGATAATATTTGTCGTATTTCGAATCTTTGAGAACAATGTATTTCCAATGTAGTATTTCATATACTAACGTTATAAAGCCAAGAGAATATCCAATTCCGAGAGCAACTAATGCTCCGTAAAGTTTGTGAAGATTTATAAGAGCTTTTGGAGCATTAGTATCTAAAGGTTTTTCGGAATTCTTGGCCCATTCCATCACGTCGTTCAACCATTTCTGAACTAAACCGGCTTCTATAGCTCGTTGTACCTGTTGCAGGAATACATCATACAATGATTTCAATACTGATAAAGTTATATGTGGCGGTAATACAATTAGTTTTTTAGTTACAAGCCGGTCCACGTTTGGTTTCAGTGGAGAATTTTTATCCAGACCAAGGGCAATCGGCATATTTATAACACATTCTTGCATTATATGCAAATTTCGATCTTGCTTAAATGTACGATTCAGCTTAGATGCACTTTTTCTTCGTTTCACCTCCAAAGCTTGTCGTTTAGCACGAGCTTCGCGCAAAACGTAGATATTTTCATAATAAGCAAATGTTCCATTTGCTACTCGTGATATAGCCTCATCCTCAATAGTGGTCACCTCGAATTTAGTTCCGATTTTCTGTGTATTCGGATCCAAAGATGATAAGAAAAATTGCTTTCGGCCCTCTCCCCAACTACCAACGGCTATTGGACTATTAGCCAATTGGCTTAACGTGTCGATAGTTACCCTAGTTATAATATGCATGTTACAAAGTTTCATTAAACTTATCACAACTATATAATATATATTACCTTTGTACAGGATTAGCTAGAGTTGCAGTCATACTTGCACGATAAGCAACAGATACTAAAATACTGTACAGCCACCACCATCCAATAAATATACGAAGAAACCAGGCATCAGGTAAACGTGGCAAAGATACTAGCATTAACATACTATATGTATACATAATGCTGTTTTGTATTTCCATAAATATACGTAGGCCTCGAGATTCCTGATTAAATTTCGCTTTCTTACTAATACTTTTTTTTGGTGCAACGAGTTCCTTTAAAGCTCCATTCTTTGCAGCATTGTCGATTGTGTGGTTCTTATGTAACATTACATGATTTTTATAATAAATAGCAAAGAAGTGTATAATAAATCCACCAGCAAATAAAGTAAATAGTACTGCAATCCATGTGTACAACCTGTAAATACAAAGTAGACATTTTTAATATATATACTATTCTCATATTAATATTCATTATCGTTTTGTACTTGAAAGGTAGAACAAGCAGCTTCCATGAATTATCATTCAAAGCTTCTGGTGTAAGAAAGGTCAAGCATTCTGTATGATACGGAACAGATAAGTCGAGCACATGAAGATGTTCTGTTGTATAATGAAGATCACCAAGAAAAAATACAGCATTTCTTGAAACTGCTTCTCCCAATAATCCAGTATACGAATCATTATCTCTTAGTGAACCCCAACGTTCTGTTTTTACATCCGGTGGCACGTATACCAATGCCTTAAAATTTATTGACTTTTCCGCAATCTTCATCAACTATAGAAACGTCTTTTATAATCCTTGATACTTATTAAAATAACCTAAACCTAAACCATGCTTCATACTATTACACTACTACTTACTTCATATTCTATACCTAATGCTTTGGAATCTGGATTAGATTTATTTCTGGAATATGTCAATGCATGTTTTGTTACAGCTGGAATGTGATCAAATATTGCCACTCTATGAAAATATTTTAAATGAATCCATTTATATAATTAACAATATTAAATCATTTATATACTTTGTACGAACTTTAAACTTTTGCCATGAAGATTTTTTGTTTTTTCATCAAAGAGCTTAACTCCGTATCTAAATCTTCCTTTGTACCAGGTATCTACATGTTTTGTTACAGAATTCTTCAAATTCATTGGGTAATTCACTGTTACAATATCAAACCATTCGTTCCTCAACGGTTCACCGGATCTACAGTTGACTGACTCGTAACGGCGTACGAAGAGGACGTTTAGAATTCGATTCCAAATGTAATGCATTTCCGGTATGAATAATCGATCGTCGTAAAGCATTAAAAAATCCCCTCGAGTGTTGATTAAACGGTTTCTAAAAATCGTGAAATTAAAAGAAAATTCTTCCGTAGAAAAATTATTCATGTTCTACTGACTCTTCAGCATATTGCAGTAGTTTAACAACTTCCAAATCGTTCGCCATTAATATAACGTACGCGTCACAGCCAGCTTCTTTACTGTTCGTCAAAATTGGTTGAATGCGTTTTTCTGAAGGAAAAAATGTTTCGTTGTGGCGGATTGATATCTGTCATAAATATTTTTATATTATCGTAGATATAATAATAATTAACTATTACTTTCATTAATTTAGATTTCTTTACCACGTAGCCTAGTGTTACGAGCTGTCCTTGACTCCAAACAGATTCTATAATTTTCTTATAATAAGAATCGAAAATGAAGACAATACACTTGTGATTTTTTGCAATCTCGTCAATTATTATTCGTTCAATAACTAATTTTAAGGATTGTTTTGATCGCATGCATGAGCGTTCTTGTATAGCATTTCTGTAAAATATATTTTTTGTATGAATAATCAAATATCCTTAACTTATTATTACAATTTTTAATGTATGGACTTACGTCTTATCAGCAGCGAAGATACATTGAACGAAAAGTATTATAATTATCATATTGCATCAATTTTGTGAAACTAAACTGTACTGTTGTGCTTCAAACGCTTTACTACAGCAATCAAGGAGTCATTGTTTCAAATGGAACAAATAATTTGCCTGTCGCTCACAGTTAAATGAATATTTTATATCACTGATGAGATCGAAATTGGATTTACCAGTGGAACACGCGATTAATCTAAAGTATTGTTCAATAAGAAATGAGACTATTCTTCTTTTTTCCATAACATATATTGGAGAGTAATCAAGAGACTCGGTCGAGTCTCGCGCCAAGTAGTACTCGATAAGGAATTATCTAAAGTTTTATTAATTATTAAATGACCATTAAATCATAATCAACTACGGGAAGCAGTAGTAATGTAAAAGAGTAGTGAAAACGTTATAAGAAATTTTGAAAATACAATTAAAATGATGGGCCAGTGCTAGATCATATAATAGGCAAACATGTAGTGACTTATGTACTTGGCCTCCATAATCTGGTATTAATACTTTTTATTAGAGGAATACACAGCACTCCTGTACTTGGCGTAGTTTTTTACACGTAAGTATTTTTTGAGGGATATAATTTGTACTTTCTTTTGAGGAATTACTTATTGTTGTTTTAAAATTACATTCAAATTAAAACTCTCTCCACAGTTCCATGAAGGCAAGTGTTCAGTATGAAATCTAAAATGTTTGTATGGCTGCATTTGTAAGCTGCGTTCTATATGCTTCAAAAGTGGAGGTTAGTAAAGGCGGGAAAATGGCACAAAGAACCATAACGTGAGTGATGCGTATAATCATTTCATAATATTATACAAGTTATTAAAGACTATAGATTCCAATACGATTGAAAGTTTATATAAATCTCTATTGTTAACTGGCATATAAAAGTTCTTGCTTTTCAGATCGTTTTTTACCAGAACTACTTCAAAGAAAGAGACCACAGAATCAGCAGATGACTCAAGGTATGTTGTGACTTAAAAGTACATGATATTGTAGTATGCAATCATGATGAGGATTGTGAGAATCTGTGTAAATGCAAAATCGTGTGTTTTGCGATGTGATTATTTTGCTGCGACAACTTTGATAAGACCTAGTACAATTGTTTCTAATTGGCTGCATGTCGGTAGCATCTCTCCTGAGAAAAAGAGTGGGAGCAATGCAGCAAATGGCAAGAGAAAAAGAGACAGCAGTTCTACCAGCAATAGCTCAATGAGGTAAATGTTTTCCTATATAATTATTTGGATTGCATTTAACATTTATATAAATGTTATTTGCAGCCCAGGATCTGGTAAAAAGGCAAACAGTTCGAACACTATAAAGAAATCCACATCATCTGATTCTCCTTCTCCTAAATCTGTTCCGAGGAGAAAAACTGGTTAGTTCTTTTTATTTGTCATTTTGATTAAGGACTCATACAACATTTGATTGCATGATATAGCACCAGTGAAAAGTAAAGCAAAGAACCTAGTTCATGGAATAGCTGAGAAGCTGGGAAATAAGAAGGAAATTAAGGATAAGGATGAAAAGGAAAATTCTGTTGATTTAGTAGCTTCGAAAGAAGCTAAAGACAGTGCAAATAAAGCAAAATTAAAAGAGGAAAAGAGTCCAATCAAGGAATCATCAATAGAAAAAAAGAATAAAAAACTTTCTACAGAGAAAAAAACAAAACCTACAAAAAAACGAGCTAGAATTATTCAGAGAGTAGAATCGAGTGATGAGGAAGATCATTTGCCTGTACGTATACATATATTATTATTAGGTGTGTTGCATTCTGATATCAATCATTTTTAGTTGCCAGAAAGTCCAAAACCTGATGAAAAAGAAATAAGTCCAGTACCCGAAGTATGTGGAAGTCCAAAATCTAAAGAGAAAGAAGATACCCCAACGCCTAATGAAGATGGAAAAGGTAGTCCAAAACGTGTAGAAAGTCCTGATAGCCATGATGAGAAATCGGAGATTGAATCTGATTCCAAGGATGGAGAGCCAAGTCCTAAGAAAGCTAAAGACGAAAAGAAAGCGTTAAAGCCTGTACATAATTTCTTTGGTAAATTCTTAGACATTCGACACTACCAGTTACAAAATGACATAAAAAATTTCTTTAATTCATCAAATTATTCTTTCCTTCACAGTACCCAAGCAAACCGAAACAACAGGAGATAAAAAAAATGCGAAGACCTCTTCATTTTATCCAGATAAGGCAAACTATCATCCAATTGATGATGCTATTTGGAAACAAGATGAGAAGTAGTTCTTTATTTTCAATTTAACAATATCTTTTTTAAAACCTATGTTATATACGGCATATTGTTCTTTTTTTTTTGGTTGCAGAGTGCCATACGCGGCTCTAACGAGAACATTAGAAATAATCGAAGATACAAGTGCAAGGTTAAAGATAATCGAAATTTTGTCCAATTACTTGCGTTCCGTAATTGTTCTCAGTCCAAACGATCTCCTCCCAAGTATTTATCTATGTCTAAATAACCTTGCTCCTGCTTATGAAGGTAAATAGATAAATATAACATTAACAAATTCTATTGCATAATTATCTATCATTATCTGTAATCAAAAAATTAGGAATTGAGCTGGGTATAGCAGATACTACCTTGATAAAGGCCATAGCCCAGTGTACTGGGAGAAGCGTAGCACAAATAAAGGCAGAAGCCCAGGAAGTTGGCGATTTGGGAATAGTCGCAGAAGGAGCACGATCTAATCAAAGAATGATGTTTCAACCTGCACCCTTAACAGTGCCAACTGTTTTTATAAAATTGAAGGAAATTGCACAAATGGCGGGTCAAGCGGTATAAACTAGAGTTTAAGGCAATTATCAATTTCCAAATGAAAATGTAAATCCAAATAAACTTCTTCATTTACAGTCTATGGCTAAGAAAGTTGATAAAATCCAGTCAATGTTCGTGGCCTGTCGACATTCGGAAGCAAGATATCTCATAAGATCCCTCGCTGGAAAACTAAGAATTGGGCTTGCTGAGCAATCCGTTCTACAAGTAATACTTACAGAAAAATAAATGAATGACTATTCCATAGTAGGATTCTAATAATCCTTTATTTTTGTAGGCACTTGCACTGGCGTGTGCAATGACGCCACCAGAACAAGAGAGACCGTTTAAAATACTTAATGCCAGTAAAAAAATTTCTAGTGATTCCTTTAAGCAGAAATACGAGGAAGTAGCTCTGACGCTCAAGACTACATATTGGTAAATTATGAAAATGATTCTTAAGTATAATCTTAAAAGGAAGAATTTCTTTTACGTACATCTATGTTCTGTTTTAGTGAATGTCCAAATTACGATATGATCATTCCAGTCCTGTTGAAGGATGGTGTGAAGGCACTACCCGATAAATGTAAATTAACTCCAGGCATTCCTTTGAAACCAATGTTGGCACACCCCACAAAAGGTGTTCAAGAAGTTTTGACAAGATTCGAAGGTTTGAAATTCACTTGTGAATGGAAATATGACGGCGAACGAGCACAGGTTTGTCCAGCTTGATTAAACACAGTATACTTAATTTTTATATCAAGTGATTAATCAAATTATATGTACTTCATGATATAGATTCATATCACAGAAACTGATGAAGTCAGTATTTACAGTAGAAATCAAGAAAATAACACATCCAAGTACCCAGATATTATCGCACGTATCAAAAATGCTCGTAGTGAAAATGTAAAAAGTTGTATCTTGGATTGTGAAGCTGTTGCATGGGATAACGAAAAGAAACAAATTTTACCGTTCCAAATTCTTAGCACAAGGAAGCGCAAGGTATTCCATTATTAATATTGTACTATTTCATAGCGTTCCGATACACGATGATACACGAATCAAATATAATTATTAATCATGGTCATTCCACAGGATGCGAATAAAGCAGACATTAAGGTACAGGTTTGTGTATTCATGTTTGATCTGTTGTATTTAAATGGAGAGCCATTGGTGAAAAAACCATTCTCAAAACGTCGAGAACTTCTGAAACAACATTTCAAAGAAGTAGAGGGAGAATGGCAATTTGCAACGAGTCACGATACAACAACAATGGAGGAAGTACAAGACTTCCTTGAAGAATCTGTAAAAGGTACAATAAATCAAATTCATCGTTCACCCCATTCACAAAAAGTAATATTCTTTTACAATAGGAAATTGCGAGGGTCTAATGGTTAAGACTCTTGATGAGGATGCGACGTATGAAATAGCCAAGAGATCGCGCAATTGGCTGAAACTGAAGAAAGATTATCTAGAAGGTGTTGGCGACACCCTAGACCTTGTTGTAATTGGTGGTTACATAGGAAAAGGGAAAAGAACAGGAACCTATGGAGGATTTTTATTGGCTTGTTATGATCCACAAACTGAGGAATACCAGAGTATTTGTAAAGTAAGTTCAGACTATTTTTTACTTACATTATATTTTATATGATAATAAAACAATCTCTTTTCAGATTGGCACGGGGTTCAGTGAGGACGATCTTCAGAAGCATGCTGAGCTCCTTAAGGATCATGTTATTCCTCAGGCGAAGTCGTATTATCGTTATGATACTAATCTTCAGCCAGATCATTGGTTTGAACCTTCTCAAGTTTGGGAAATCAAATGTGCTGATCTATCATTATCTCCTGTGCACAATGCTGCAATTGGAATCGTAAGTATCTCTTTTAATTTTTGGTCTACTTCTTTCTTTAATGGACACTAAGTATGAAATTGTGAATACTATAGGTGGATCCAGAGAAAGGAATATCCTTAAGATTTCCAAGATTCGTAAGGGTGCGCGACGATAAGACCTGCGAGGACTCAACATCCGCGCAACAAGTAGCTGACATGTATAACAGCCAAGAACAAATAAAGAATCAATCGTCTACAACAAAGGCGACAGAGGAAGATTTTTATTAGGAACTGTTAATTTATCTTCCATTACTGATACTCATGGAGATTCATATAAAATTACATTTTAACGATTAGTAATAAAAGTTTCAAATGAAAGTGGCATTATTATATGCACATTTCTCTGATTTTTATTTGTTCCTTGTGCTCTTAACTTTACCAGTCTTTAATTTCCATGATTTTGAGGTGTTTTTATAATATTTTTATTAGACAGAATAGATTCCATTTTTTTTCATAATTGACTAAATAGATAAACGTCTTACGTTCATCGTGTATGAATTGAATAAGTATACGCTATTCCGATAAGAATACATTGGACCGCAGTGATTAAATAAAAATATGAAATAATGACAACCGCCACATTAAGAGATCACTAATGAAAAGTGTTTGAAAATAAAAATAAAATCTACTGGTAAAGTTTGTATTGTCTCCACGCGATAACAATTAAAAAATAGTTCCTTCCAATGTAATTAACTTTCATCTATTCGTTGTGGTTTCATACAATATTTAAAAATGAGAGATTACGTATTGAGAACTTTATCCAGCAGTCATTTTAATTGCTCCGAGAATATATGTATGCTTATTAAAGTCCTCACTGTGTAATTAATTATTCGGCAGAATAGAATAAAAAAATAACAATTATTCTTTTCCTTATTTTATAATGGGGTCTTTTTAATTATTCACCCTTGCAGTATACACAATCTGTACTGCATTTCCTCCTTGTTCACTTTCTACTAACCTCAAGTCAGAATTTTATTTTTATCTTTAGGTATCGCAATTTTCACGATATTTATTTGGTATAAAAAATGTAAGAATCTATCGAAGATTTCAGTGTACCTATACGTTGTTAGGTAGCCATTAAAATTATGTCTGTCTTTTTAATGTGTTGGTATGTTATATCACATAAAGTCTATGTGCAATAAATTAGAAATTTATTATATCTAAAAGAATTCTTTTCCATTCAGTCTGTTTCGGTAGGCTCATTTTTTATATTGACACACTCAAGCTGTCGTTTTCTCTCAAATGCACTTACAGCATCCACGTCTGCATTATCTGCTGTATCTGTAGGCTCTTTTTTAATAAATGTCATCTCACTTTGTCTATTACAATTTTGATGCTCAACACTGTCTTTTGTAATAAAATTACTTTCAATTCTACCTTGACCATCATTGCTTTGTACTGGTACATTATCACCATCATTGTTATCATCGCCAGAAGTTACACTGTTATACGTAATTATTTCTAGACTTCTCTCATCTTGGGTATCACTACACGTACCTAATTCAGTTTTCAGCATGCTCACTATTTCTTGATTAATTAACGTGTGCCCTGATTGATTCTCAATCTCTAGGCACTCAGAGTCGTCAGGTTCTAAGAAATTCTCTAGAAGAATCATTGCATTTTTAGACTGTTCTCTTTGTATATTAGTTAAAAGAATTTCATCGTTCTCACTGATCTCACCTTTCCTTCTGTGCGTTTTTAAGTGAATGTTGACAAAGTCTGCACGTTGAAAACCTCGATTGCAAATGGGACATTTATAAGGACGACCACCCTCCATATGCGCCATTATATGCAACTTCATCGCGTGGTGATTTCGAAACCTTTTCTTACAAATGTCACACTCAAATGGCTTTTCGCCTGTGTGCCAACGCATGTGAATGTTTAAGTCATGTGTCCTAATGAAACGTTTACAACAGATTTCACATTCAAATGGTTTTTCATCCAGATGTATCCTCTTGTGAACCCTTAAGTACGACATCCTGACAAACCCCTTTTTGCAGACGTCACAAACAAATGGTTTTTTGTTCTCATGAACATGCATATGCGACGTGAGGTCACATCTCCTGAGAAAGCCCTGTTTACAAATTTGGCATTCAAAAGGTTTTACATCGGAGTGCGTTCTCATGTGTACCTTGAGATCGAAAGATCTGGAGAGACCTTTTGCACAGACTGGACATATGTAAGGTTTGGTCTCAGCATGAGTATTTATATGGGACCGTAACCTGTCTGCCCTTTGGAATCCTTTGTTACAGATATTACACTTGTGTGGTTTGTTATTGGAATGTGTACCCACGTGTTCCTTAAGGTCGTGTGTTCTTAAGAATCTTTTCTTGCATACAGGACATTCGTGTGGTTTTTGGTCTGAATGTACTGCCATGTGGAATTTTAAATCTCGTGGTCTAAGAAAACCCTTCTTGCAGATTCCACACTCGAATGGCTTTACATCCGAATGGATTCTCATGTGGTCATTCATATCATATAGTCTTTGAAAACCCTTATTGCAGACAGAACAGTGAAAGAGCTTGTTCCCTGTATGGGTTCCAATATGATACCTTAAGCTTTGTGCGGTCTTAAACTCCCTCTGACATTGGTCACACCAGTGAATCTTTCTTCTACTTAACATTGACGATGCTGACTGTAATCCTCTCTTCATACGATAGTCTCTCCTCTTCTCAGAAATATTTGTAATATTAATCGAGTGAATGTATTCCCTTGAATTGTTTGAATTCTTTGTGATTGCAAGTACACTTTGTCTCCCTGATAAAGCTGTGTCTTCTAGCTCAGACTTCACTGCTTGATCCATGGAATAAATGCTGTCATTTACAGGGCTATATTCTTCGGGCTCAGGCTTGATAAATACAGAGTTCCACGGTTCCGTTTTATCGTTAGCTAAAATCTGTCACGAAATTCTCAGTATAAACAAGATTGAAACATCAAGTATGTGCTATACGGGCATCTGTCATTTATCAGCTGTATCTTATACAACAGGAATGTCAACCATTTATATTGTATTTCTATCAATATCATTAGTATACGTAACTAGACATTGACTTAACCCTTATGACAGTTAATTCCTAACCATCTATAAGACAAAAAGCATACAAAATATACCTGTACAAAAAACTAGTGTCTACCCAGCATCGCGAGATCAAAATGATACTATACGGCAATATGACATATTCTGTATCTTCTCGATGATCTGACCCATCGAAGGAAAGGAGTAACGTCAATAAAGATGACCCAGATTATGATCTGACATTACAATCCCTGTAATAGTATCCCTCCTTTCATTCACTATACGTCTGTTCCTATCCTTCACCAAATATCTCGTTTCTCAGAAAAAATTCGTTGAACCCTTATCAATCAAGTGTGACGACAGCAAATATCTCTGTTTGTTGTGCAATTCTACAGGAAATCGTAAACAGGTGCCCGTAAAGCACACGATAGAATCGACTGTCTTGCACTAACCTTTGCTTTCGTGGGTGTACCGATGTCCATCATAAGTAACACAGTCTCCCACAAATTCACAAGACTTCAACAAGTAAAGGAATATATCTTCAATGGTTTAATGCCTCGTAGGTCCAAACATACTTTGTGTTTTCACGTAACCCTAGGACAAATGGCATTATAGCGTCCAGATGGGCATGAACTGCGTGTCTGCGAGACGAGAAAAATACGGAAGTATTTTATCACTGTTTCTGACAACTAACAGAAATTCAGTCTTTTAATCAAGGGAGTTGATTCTTGAGAGAAATAATTCTCTAATTCTTCTAATTGTACGTACGAAAGAATGGAAACAAATGACATTACCTTATTCTGTATTGCTTGACCTTGACGAGTTCCTTTGCCTCCTTCCATTATTTTACAAATGCAGCATCCGTGCTCCAGCATTGTTCCAGGATTACCAATTGATCAGACAGTATCCGCTCTGTTTGAGAGAAATTAGAGTACGATGAATCTGAAATGGGATTTTTTAATTTTTATCTATTAGATAGGATAAAGTATTAAATGAATTTGAGTATGCAATAGAAGTTCAAGAACATTTTCTGAGAAAATGGGATGTTAATTTTTGATGTTGTGACTTGCTAATATTATTTGACTAATTAATCTTTTTTTAAATTTGTACTTTGTACTTCACCATGTTTGCGTTCAGCCATTCACTGGGAGGCCGCAAGGAAAGGAATAAGTGTTACCCGTGTCAGCTGCAGTTCTCTGACACTAGCAGTAGCGAGTGGACTAAGTTCTCGATTTCAAGATCAAATTACTTAAGGATACTACTTATCAGAAAAGATGGCATTTTCTAAACCTACACATATTATTTATAATCTTGTAGGAGCATATTTTGAAAGTCTTTACGAAAATCCACTTAAAACGAAAGCGCTTACTAGGTGAGAAAAATAATATACGTATATGGTTACCATAAATGTAAATTACTACGTTTATTTGTACTTGGATATTCAGAATAATTTAATCTTACCTTGAAATTTTAGCTGTGTGATCGCCACATTGGGTAATTTGGCTTCGCAAAGGTTGTCTGGAGTGAAATATCTTAACCAGGATAGTCTTATTGCATTTGGTCTATTTGGGTAATATTTTATTGTTTAGAGTTTAAAATTACATACAAACCTGTGCCTTATTTTAGATTAATTTCATTGTAGACTTCTCTTTGGTGGAACGATACCTCATTACTTTTATAAGTATGTTCAGTCGATCACAAGGAACCCACTGGGCATTCTGCTTATAGAAAGACTCATGTATACACCGTGTTTCCAAGCACTGTCTTTATATCTGCTTGCTAGATTTGAGGTAATTCTATTTTTAAATTTTTGAGAATCTCAGGATCAGGTGGTCAATAGATATGGTAATATTTCAGGGACACTCTGATGAAGTGGCACGGAAACAAGTTGAAAAACTTTACTGGCCAATACTTACTGCCAATTGGAAGTATTTAACATTGCTGCAATTTATAAATATTAAATTTGTGCCACCAATGGTGAGGCTTTGTGAGAATAATTTATTGTTAATAATATTAAATATTTTATTCTTAACAATTTCATTTATTTTAGCTACAAGTTTTGGTGGTCAATCTTATAGGATTCTTATGGGTCATCTTCCTAGCAAACAAACGAGCAAAAGTTCAAAGATCCACCAGAGGATAATACAAAATTCTGTTCACTTAATGCAACAGCATACTTGTCATAATAATATTTTTGTATACTTATTGCAACCATTACTATAAGCTTGGAGTAGAGGTAGCAATATTCTTTTACTCGTATTTGACATAAGATATAATTACACTGTGCCAATTTTACATTCCACTTTGAAGAAAATTAGTAAGTACCAAACGTTCTTCTCATCTTCAAAACTCAACAAATTTCTATGGTTTAAGATGATTATCTATTGTATATAATCGTATTGTTAATAAACTGTTAAATGTTGAAACTGCAGCATCGTCAGACTTGAAAAAGAAAAACCTGAATGAAGTAAACACAGCGCATGTAAGCATTTTGATTTAATCACACAACAACAATACAGAGTATGTTACAGATATAATCCGAATTTCCACTTTAACGATAGTAACATTTTATGTTCGAGATTGCGGGTAATTAATAGTAAAGGTCAAGGGTCAACGGTAATCAAGAAATGTCAAAGATCAATCGATATCTTTCTTCCTTTCTGTATTAATATACAAAAAGCGGTTAGCTCACCAGGAAAAATATCGATATTCCTGATACCATGGCGTTTGACAAAGATTTTGGAAAAAACAGACATTCAGTCATTATGCAAGAACTAACACTACATAGTCTCTCTATAATTGTTAGAAACAATGTAGACTTTCTGAGTATGCTCTTCAACCTTATTACATATATTATCTTTCCAGACTTAACTTTCAGTAATCATAGTCTATATTCTAAACGTGTCTTTTGGTATGCTACCCGACCAATTAAATGGCCAACAAACAGTAATATATCAGTGACTAGCATATCTCATTAGATTCAGAATTTCTTTCGATTCTTTACATTATAATTATCTTGGTTTCAATAATAAAAAATTAAACCAAGCTTCGTGAAGTATTTACTTTTCAGCATTCATTGATCTCTGATCCACAGGCTGTGGTGGTTCAAGAGTTCCATGAGACGACTAACGTTACAATAAATAAATATTACTATAAGTAATAAGTATTAATCAAAGTCTATGGCTCTTAGGTACGAGGAATCTCAATACTAAATGATCCTTATACTGTTGGCCTTTCGCTATGGTGTATTTTAGAAATATCTATATGTACACACGAGGAGCGACTTGAGTATAACATTGCACTAAATTATCGAATCACATTTTGCCCAAGATTATTCTTGTTCTTTTGGCCTATACCGGATTTGGAATGTGTGGATCCAATTTATATTCGATTCGTCGACAATTGGATAGTGTCATAATAATAATGATGGTGTGAATTCGACTAGAATAAATATTGTGTTTGTATAACAAACAATCCCACCAAGAAATAATGACAAAAATGTACAGAACTACAATAGTAGTACGTTTCATGACTAGAAATAAATAATATAAATAGCTACACAACGATTGAACGAGTGTACGATTTGCCAGACACTAGCAGCAACTAATAAATATGAGCGTTTTCACTTACAGCCTCCGGAATGTGCTTATTGCTTTTTTTCCTTTAAAAAATTGTCGAGCCTTGCACAGACCCTTGCAGATACGACTAAAGTCACATAATGTCAAAAAGAAATGTGAATAAAAAATCTGTAATCTCACTGTTCCCACAAGAGAATGAGATATCCAACAGAAAGAAGACCTCTTTGAGTAATATAAATAAAATTGGTTCTTAGACTTTCTAGAATCCTAGAAAAATAGACATTCCGTAATACAATAATTGTAATGAAATAAAATACGAAGATTCACTTATAAAAATTTACGCATAGAAATAATCCTGAGCAGTATTGCAAAAGTTAATTCGCTGCCATCTTGCATATCACGTGTAATAAATAAATAAATAAATAAATAAATAATCTATCAAGAGATATTTGCGGAATGGTACGACACTCAAAAAGAAATTCTTAAGTGCCTCGAGTTCAACTCGTGAATCTTTAAGATTTCATATCTTGCTTGTAAATCGCCCAAAAGAAATAGAATAAAAGACGGAAGTTCGCTGCATGTCGAGTATCTATCCACCCTAACTACTCGACATTACCGTTCCAAAATTCTCACCTCAAAGGCAAGAAACCGTTTTCTACTGTGGGATCAACAACCTGCGCTTCCTAAGTCCAAAAAGATGATAAAGCGCGAACTTGCCTCACGATGTAATTCGCCATGGCGAATTCAGAGCTTTTAAAGGAACATTTATTCATTTAATTCATTATACGATCTCCTTCTCCCCTTTCTCCAGTGGTCAACGGGTGTACGAAGGACTTCTACTGGGAGAACGGCTGGAGCGTCGACTTGGACTTGACCAGTCACTATGCCGACTGCTTTCCGAACTGCTTGGCGAAGATGGTGGTGAGGGTGTAGGTCGATGATATGGAATCGGTCGTTTTCTAGCACTGAAATTATCACTTATTAGTCCTCCCGCAGGTCGCGCTATTAATAACTGAAGATGATTAGTACGTGTTATCATTGACAAGGAATTATAATATTAATTCATGATGAACCAATAAGGTACATTTAGTATATTATAATTATACCAATGTATACAGGCTTACTCATTATTATGGACACGTAGGCACGTGATATGCTGAATTTACTTATACGATGGCAGGCGTGCAGCAACATGAAAGAAAAGAAAAGAAAAAAAAAAGAGAAAAGAAAAAGATAAAGAGCAGGTGGTCATGCGACATGAATTTTAAAAAAATATATAGAAGTGTGAACGATGCCAAATAAAAATGTAACACTTACCTGTACGATTCTTGATGAAGAAATAAAAGGCTCACGAGTCACGATACAAAATAATAAACAACTAAAGAGGTTCTTTTGCCGCAGTAACGTCTTCGTCTACTTTTGTTCTGTGGTTTTATTTTTTTTATTTGTGCTCGACATAAAACAAAAGAGAATCGCTACTTCGGATCTTCAATGTACAATAAATTTACGGGGATGATATACACATGCCATTCTATATAAACGCTTGTAAGAAAATTCGACAACCCATCGCGTTCATACTAACCTGACATGATATTAATTCATAGAAATGAGCAATCAATTCATCGTTCAATTGATTTGTAGACGGTTATAAACGAATTAATTAGATGCAATTAAATAGAAGGAAAAAAAAAACATTAAATAGATCGTTGTTCGACCCCGCAGTCTCTTAAAGCGCAGTATAACGAGTCACAAATTGACTTAATGCAAATAGTACTTGAAGAGAAGAAAATAATAATATAATGAAATTCACAACTTCCGATCGAACATTACAATAGCCATCTATGAAAATTCGACACTGTGCTAATTTCTTTTACTTTTTAATTTCCTGCCTTTCTTTTATAATGTCTTCTCACGTTACTAGGATATCGAACAGATTAGTGTCGTTACGCATTTATTTCTACATTATTGTAGGAAAGTAATACAATTAACTGTGCGAAGCCATAAACACTATCTTCTATGTTTGTCCCTCGAACTGTCTCTGTAGGATACAACAAATAGAAAATATTAGGATAGTCAAACGGGAGAAAATCATAAAAAAAAAGAGATAATGATAGCATATCCTAATTTGCATCGATCCGTAGCAACTGTAATCGACTGTCTAAAATAAAAGGTCGTTTCACTTGCTCTTGAATACAGCAACAAAGAAATAAATGTAATAACTAAAAAAAATAGAGAGTAACACGATAATCCTACATTCGACAAAGTGGTATTACAACTTCAGCTTGGTGCAATGGTAGAGATATGAAATCGATAACAGACTACGATAATCAAGGATCAGTTACCATCTACGGTCTTACCTGGTGATACGTCGACGGTCCAGGAAACTTGGCGAACCGTGACGACGGGGTATTGACGGGGAACGTGATCTACTGGAAGCCGAGCTACTAGAGGTCGAGCGTGATGATCGACTAGAAACGCTGCTCGATGATCTTGACGAACTTGAATAACTTCTACGACTTCGTCTGGCTGAACTGTGTTATACATAAAAGAAATATATTATATTACAAGCAATACAATTATAAAATAAATATTACTAAATTCAGAAGAAAAAATGTATTTACCTCGCGGAAGATCTAGAACTACTCCTGCTGCAACCCCTCTTCGGCTTTTCCCTGGATGTCCTAGATGCGGACCTGGAGTGACTTCTTGACTTCTTTGACAAGGAACGACTTCTTGATCTTTTCGACAGTGACCTGCTTCGACTCCTGGATATCGATTTCTTCGGGGAACGCGAAGGCGATTTTTTAGAATGCGACGGGGATCTGGATGCAGATTGTTTTGATCTTGATCTTGATCTGTTAGATTTTTTGGCCTTCGCTGGGGACTTGGGTGACTGCTTGCTTCTAGAAGGAGACTTGGACGATCTGGTCTTGGGCGAGACGGATTTCTTGTCCCTAGAGTGTGTTCTTGATCTTTTATCTCGGGATGGCGATCGCGAGGATCTATGTCTTGGAGTTTTAGAGGATCTCTTCTCCAAGGACATAGATCTTGTATAAGATCTTGATGGTGACCTCGAGGAGGATTTATTTCTTGGCGAATGTTTCCTGGATCTGACTGATGATCGTGACGCTGATCTGGAGACTGTATTTCTCTTGGATACCGCACGCTCGGGCGATCTAGATGCTGATCTTGATATCGACATGTTCTTAGGTGAGGTATCTTTGGATTTCACTGAAACACGCGAGGGCGATTTGCTACCAGATTTTCGCTTAGGCGGTGACTTAGATTGCAGCACTATGCGATCCTTAGGTGCATTCTTATTCTGGTTAGGGGATTTAGACAGAGATTTCACATTTGCTCTACCCGGAGACTGGACCTTTGAACTTGAACTAGACTCTCTACGTTCTGATCGTGATCTTGATCTATTGTCCCTTATATCCTTCTCAGGAGACGCATAACGTGATTTGGAGTGTGACCTGGCTACGGATGTAGATTCTGATGCAGAACTTTTCTTGGATGCACATGGAGATTTGGATCTGTTATTGATTTGTGTCACAACTGTCGGTGGTAAGGGCGGTGGTGACTCGCTGGGGGATCTCAACTTTATTATGGCTTCTTCACGTGTCAAAGGCAATGCCGGGGATGGCGATTTGCTGGATACTGGAGACGGTACACGAGGAAGTTCCACTGGCGAATTTGACTTAGAATTCTCTTTAGTTGGCGTGTCTACTTTCCGAATTGCCTTCGGTGGCTCGCTAGGCAATGCTATGTCAAGCACGCTGTCATCTATCTTCTCCACCTTTATTTTCACAGGGCTTATAACTTTTTTGCCCAAAGTTTCTCTGGCTTTCGCAGCTAAGCCACTTTGAAGACGTTTCAGAGTATTGAGTTCCTTCTGACGTTCTTCGTCTTCGGGCTTAGGATCGTCCTCGATGATATCTGGTTCTTCCTCGCTGGATGATCGTAAACTGACCCTGGGCGCTACAACTTGCATCTTTCTGCTCCTGGAAATCGATCGAGATTTCTGTTTCTTCTCTTCACGTTTCTTGCTCTTCTTCTTGTCCTCCAAAATATCCTTGTAACGTTCCGGGTTCTTCCTGATAGGCGAATAGCTCAGGCTAGATCGTCGAGAACGACTCCTGGACTTGCTGCGACTTCTGCGACGATCTCGGGACCGTTCCCTGGATCGTTCTCTAGATCGTTCCCTAGATCTTTCCCTAGACCGTTCCCTAGACCGTTCCCTAGAGCGTTCCCTTCTGTCTCTGGGTCTCCTCGGTGACCTAGATCTTCTTCTAGAACCTGATCTCCTGCGTCTAATAAGCGACATTCTACGTCGTGATCCATAGCGGTCGTATCTAGAACGGCTTCTGCTTCTTGAGATCGAGTATCTGTTACGTCTCCTGGGAGACCTCGAAATCCGCCTTCTTCTGGGCGATGGACTCATACGTTTTGATCTGGAGTATCTTCTAGGCGATCTCCTGTCGTTTCTGCTCCTCGAGGGTGATCTGTTACGACGACCCGGTGAACTTCTCTGAGCAAATGGCGACTTGTCCCTCTTATCCCCAGTGGATCGCCTTCCGGGTGATTCCTTTCTCCTAGTGGACGATAGTGATTCATTCCTCTGATGATCCTGCTTCTTAGGCGAGCGATTTCTCAGTGATTTTTGTTTGGGCGATGCCGATCGTGATTTGCGCCTCGATCTTTCCTCCAACTGTTTGTCTTTCTTGAGTTGATTCTGTGCTTCGGCTTCCTTTTGCTCACGTTCCTTTATCTTTTTCTCCAGTTGTTCCAGCTCCTTCCGCAAATATTCAGTGCGCTTCCTCGAGTTCTCAGCTTCCTCATTTTGCACAGCTTCCGAGGCTTTCTCATGTTTCAAGGACTTCTTTGGTCTCTCCGGAGAACTAAAACATTTACCATTAATTATTATATATGCCAGTACGCATAACTTCCTCTCATAACAACATCACCGCTTCATATTCCAGGACGATTTAACAGAACTATGAAATTTTGTTATAATTGAATTTAAAAAACAACAACAATCCGAAACTTATCCAAAAAGAAGTGGTCGTGGATAACAATAATGGCGTACCTGTCGGAGGAGCTATCGGATGACTGATGCTTTCTTTTGGTTGTGGCCTTCTTCTTCTAAAAGGAAAGATGATTACGATTACTGACGATGGAACGAGGTTGTCCAATGAACACCGATCATGCATACATATTTATCAGAAAATCATTGAAATTTCGAATTGTCTCTCGTTCTTCCGTAAGGTTCTCTTAACAGAGCCTGCTTATTCATTATAAAGTCATCAACGCTCAATTATACAAGTTTGTCGACGTAAAGCGAGAGCACCCTATCAGTGGGTTAAGGAAGAAATAAGAGAAAGAATTCTACAAAGCGAATAATGCCTAATGTCAAATGTATTTCACTGTTGTGTCATTTTGCCAAAAAAAGAAAGAAAGAAAAAGCGTAAGAGGAATTAAATACCAAAACAAAAAAAAAAACAAAGACCATCCTGCACTTCATCTCGTGAGACAATAATTTTAAAAGTGCACGATTGCCAAGTATCTTATACTCGGTGAAAGAAAATATTAAATAATATTACTACTAGACAAGCACCAACGATATTATCAAAGAATAAGCAGTCTCTTATGTTTCGTCTTTTCCTTTTTTTCTTTTTCCCTTCATTTGCTTTGAGTCCCTCGCTAACGTGTTGGTGCTCGACACAAAACAAGTGAACAAACGACAGTTGTTAACAGTTGTACGCAAAATTGATTACCAATTATTATTCTTATTATTATTACATTGAGTAGCGGCATGTCGGGTACTCACTCAGGGAATGCCTCCTGTCAAATGGCGCTGATAATTACAAACAATACTGAGATTTACACTTTGAAATAATGAGATCAGTAACTTGAAATCAGATTATACCAATTACAGAAACAAGCAGTTAATCATGCTCATCCATAGATAGGTGGCAACACAAATTTCGATAATTCAATGTCAATCGTCAAACTAATTTTGAAGAAACGAACGTAAACTATGACGTCGCATGCTCCCGCTTCTCGTGCTAAGATATATTTATATATATATATATAATAATATATATAAAGATTTATACCAGGTTATTCAGCCCAAACGCACCGCATGGACATGGTTTTACCATAAGATTCAAATGGACGCGGCTAACTTCAGGTGGTGCGCTTCCACTGAATAACCCTGTATATATATATAATTATTTCTCGCGACTATTCTCAGTCAAAAATTCTCAATTTACTACCTCGTGCTTCTCCTTTGCATCTGATTTCGATTTCTTCTTCTTCTTCTTCCTCTTCTTCTTCGTCTCATTTTCGGAGGAGCTGTCAAAACAATGTTTTCATTTTACCCAAATTAAAACTGACCCCAAGAAGATCGTTAGAACGATCGTACAGTCGTTATTGAAATAAAAATTTCACGCACCTGCTGTCATCAGAATCCTCGCTGGTGGAGTCGCTGTCGGATGACGTTACTTCGGTCTTCTTGTGCTTCTTTTCCTTCTTCTTCTTCTTAGACTTCTCCTTCTTTTTGTTGCTTTTAGCCGGGGACTCGGATCTATGAAATATCAATGAGCGTTAGATCCGGCAAGTTCGCTAAATGAAACTTTCAAAGTGATAATAATTACAAATGATCGCATGTATCATTTAAATCTCGCAGTGGACGGGGCTTCCTGTCGACAAGTGCATACCTTTTGTGCTAACAATCAAGAAAGCTGTATTACAATAACGAATAATTCGGTGTGTAATAATAAATGAATTGTATTTCGCACTAACAATAAGAATTACCAACTACCTGTATACAAAAGGTCTTTCGATATACAGTATGGTATTGGTACATAATAATTATCACGTTCATTAGGATGCTGCGATTGATGCTGCAATTAATTTTAATATAAATAAATAAAAATAGAAAAATATACATATATCTGTTTACAAATAGATATATGTATTTATAAATATTCCAAGTCGCATTCTCTACGGGAGCTTTAGTATAAAATGAGATAAACCTCGAGAAAAAAAAAAAGTTAAAATATGTTTTTCCCCCCACTCATTTTTCAAAAATTTTCTTTCCAACAACAGTCGATTTTAAGATCGCGCGTGCGTAATAACTCTTAGATATAAGAGTGAAAGTAACGTGAAAATTGTATGTGCTTCAAAGGAATAAACAGAAATGGCAATTGCGTGTTATTATAATATAAATATATGTATATGAGTATAAGTCCTCCACTGCAACCTCGGATGATAATATTAAGTATGCAAAAGTATGTTAAACGTGACAGTGGCGGCGTTTCGTATGTTTCTTAGTAACTTTTGATAGAATAAATGATTTGATATCATTTCTTTTTTTTTTTTTTTTTGGGGCTATCGCTAATACAAAAACCCACTAATGCATTCTATTGAGAGATCTAGTTTTTCTACTGTAAAAGCATGGAGTATGAGTAGAGTGATAAGTTTGAGAAGATGTATAGTATGCCCTCGTACCTCAGTTGATCACTATGCCGAAAAACCACATCTCCCAATAACGCGTTACAAAAGACAAGTATACAAAATATATGAGGAGTATTGATATTAATATGGGATTAGCATTACCTTGATAACCATCGATAGGGACGGACTTGTCAGAAAAAAATAGAGAGATGACATTAACAACAAGCTTTATCGATAACATCAACAAAGATAGGAATGCAATGATCTCTGCGAGAAATAGTGCACGTCTTTTTAATAAATGCTCATTTAACTGCGCTTTATTCTCAACGATCCGGGGTAGATGTTTGCGCGATAACCATGCGGATATTATTCGCAAACATTTACCGTGAAAAGAATATTTAAACGTTACAAAGAAGTGCGAGAAGTCGCTGAGAGACTCTGCGAGCCCTGTCAAGAGAACGCCTGTACAAGAAATAGTCGCGGTATGACAATTAGAATCAAGAACAGTTGGCATTATGGAAGCCAGGACAAAAAGACGTATCAAGAATAGATCATCAATCCGCTACGCAACGTTAATATAAATTATGATATTTATGGTATCTTTATCTTAATATTCATAATACTCTCTTGCTTTCATTGAGTGTTTTGGAAATTAGACGCGACGACCACACTTACCTACTGAGCCTACTAGGTAGGCACTCAGTCCTCCTCAGTTCTGTTTGAAACAGAGAAAGGTGTACGGGGCATGAAATAGTAGGCGAGTTATGAGTAGTCAAGTATCGGAGAACATATGTGTAGTAAAGCGAATGAAATATATGTAAATGCGGTAAATGAATAATTAATTGAGGAAATATAAAAAGGGAGTCTACGTGGGACGGTGGTCGAGTCTTGGAGCCTCGACTCTCATAATCAGACTGTCTAGAACTGGGATTACTTATTGAAAACATTACTTGACAGTTTTTCTCATTCTAGTAAAGTAACGATAGCCTGACAGTCCAGACTCCACTGACTCGTGTACCACTACGTTCTCGTATACCTGTCTCGCTTGTGCTTCTTTCCCTTCTTCTTCTTCGTACTGCTGCCAGATCGTTTTCTCTTGGCCTTCTTCTCAGGCGCCGATGTGGTGTCCGGCGCGGGACTCGGTGTACGAACGAGTTCGTAGACTTTGCTGGCTGCCGCCCGAGCCTCGGCTTCTCTTGCGTGTCTCTCAGGATCCAAGCTGCTTCCTTCCACGAAGAATTCCGATATTCCAAATGCCTCGCGTAACTTCGCATTCTTCTCCTGCTGCGCCTCGGCTATCTGATGTGTCTCTCGAACGCTGTAAAATTCAGATAGTCAGTAGGGTCAGTCACTGATTCAACGACGGACTTACACGTCTTCCCGGATGTGAAAGAGAGAGAGAGAAAGAGAGAGAGAGAGATAGAATAAACAATATTTATTATGTAAGAGATACTTTTTTTTCAATTTTCAAACAGAACCACATGAACAGACTGGAGACTGAAAGCAAAAGAAAATTCGGTTGGCATACCGTGTCGAGATTTTCACAGTCATGCTGCAGAAGATGCTATTCTACAGTAAGAAGATAAACACTGAATTTTTCTTTTGAAAATTGTCTACGCTAAGCGTAGATAAATGCGGTACACGAAAATACAAAGCGTCTCAAATCCGTACAGGATGGCAGCACGAACTCTGCTGAACAATGATGCAGAAGTGACATAACGCTAGCGCCAGAGTCAGAGCCACCCCCTCGAATGAAAAGCTGTACGCGAAGCCAGGCCAGGCCTCCCCTACGTTACACCGCATGGATCAATACAATCCAGCTGTTCTCTTTTCAGGCATCCCTTTCACGCTACGGGTTGCGAGTTCAACGATTAAAAAACAACCGTAGGACGCTAGACTAGTTTCCATAAGCTGACACGCATAAGCAGTGATTCGTACGAGGATTTTCTTTTAACAATGGAGAATAAGAGCAGAGAAAATTGTTAAAAAACATACAGCCAATCCTGCGACATGCCAAGAACTTCAGAATTGATTCCATGAAGACACAGCGGGAGACAGAGAAATATTTTACAGTTGAATATAAAATAGAAATTGGGTCAGACGATAAATTAAAATATGACTGATGTATAGAAAAATTATACTACCAACTAACTAACAATTTCTACCCCATGGAAATGTAATAAGACTAATTGTATTAAATAACGCAAAGGTAAAGAGTGCAGAGGTATTCGCAGTGGGAGTAATCCAATTTCGTGTACAGGCACTCTCAGCAGTACTGCACGTTGAAGTAATATTGATATTTATGAACCGCCCTAATCATTGAAGCTTCGAGGGAGAATAAACTTTCTGAAATGTCAGTATCAGTGAAAAATCATCTTTCTTGATAAATTCACCTGACGACCGAGGAACGTATGTTGTTACGTCGTCCAGCAAGTAAATGGAGTTGTATTCTCTGACAGCAGCAACAATGCTGTTTCGATTGTTGCTGCCCTTTCTTTTTCTTCCCGTTAGCCTGCTTGCCGGCTTGTACTTTTCTCTTGCGCGAACGCTTCATAACCTTTTGTCGATCCAAAAAGAAATTTCCTCGCCACAACCGCTCAAAAAAGGCACGACCATCAGCCGGTCCACGGCCACGGGCCGCTTTCAATGGTACCGACGTGGACATAGTCATTGGGTTAACAACAATTGCTGGATGAGTATATGTAAGAATTAGCGAGTGATAGCAGAACGATTAATTCTGATTGAAATTCTCCAGTAATTCCTGGTCTCGCTAATTGTACGGCATCAGGGTGAAAGCGTTGGCGTATCCACAATGAGCGTCGAGAAGCCACGAGGATTTACATGCAAATGAATGGGTATCTTGATCCTCGAATGGGACGTAGAGTGAGACGCGAAGCGTGGAAGTCGCATTAGACAAAAAGAAGAGGAAGAGTAACAGTCGTTCCAGGGCGGCGAAGAGTTAATGGCTTCCTCCCTTATTTTATGCCGACCAGGTCTTTTGTACACGAGGGCTTTCTGCTTCCTTAACCGCGACAATCTTCCTGCGATTTTCTTCAATGTCGATGCACTCCTCTTCGCTCCTCGCAAATCTTCTTCCGGGCTTCAATTCGTTGAAATATCTTCTATATGGAACAGTTCACTTTTAATTACTTCACGAAATATATGTATATCTTTTTTTTTCTTTAATTTTCACCCCTTTTCGAGAGCAATTCTTTTTTATGGCTCACGAAACTTATATATATTTTTGTACAATTTATTCGTACTTTAATGTAGTAATAGTATATGATATACGTATATTAATATTTTTATTTAAATACTAAGGAAGACGCTGGATCAGGCACGCTATTAAAGTTCTTCGATTAATCAATCGTCGTCGAGCGGGACGTTGGTATCAAGGCCTTTATCTCTTTCATAATTAATGATTATTTATCGCTCAACCGCGAACTGGAGACACGTGGATTTAGTAGAAAATGTGTTATATATTGTGGTAGAATCGATAACCTTATAATTAGTCGGAGACACATGGATTTCGTATGGTTTATTTAACGTGACATCGGCGCGTCGATAATTTCCCGCGTTAATGATCTTTGCAAAAAAGATTCGATCGGCTCGTTAATTTTTCATTCTACGGACACTAAAGGCCTGTCCCCTTTCGTTGCAAAGATTAATGTGATTTATGCGCAACGTATAAATTGCGCCACGATGACTATAATCGACTTACGAGATAAGGTATGTATAATGATCTTAACGTGGATTAATAATTTTTAATTATGCTAGTGGAAGACTTTTGTGATTTTTATAAATATAGTTTCGAGTGCTGCCCCCGGGGACTACATCGCGATTTTTTTAGTTTCTAGTCGTTTCTACTTTTCCGCCGTCTACTATCCCCATCGCGGCTGGCGGACGCGTGGCGTCGCGACGTCGGTCCATTCTCGCACTGATGCTGGGAGAGAGACCTCTCCCGTTCTTTCCTCCCTTTCATCCAGCGCTACCTCTATACGCATCTCGCTCGACAGTCTCTCCCTTTTTGAAAGTAGAGAGCGCCGGCGCTAGGGGGTAGTCGATATTTGGGAATAGCAGGAGATGGAGGACCTTGAGTCAACCCTCGAATTCTGGGCGTATCTTCAGCTCTGGTAATATTCGAGGGTGCAGATTGATAGGGATGTTGGGTGGAACCCCTTTGCATCGTGGAAATCCATAATGGGGATATTGAAAATGTTTCAATATCTGTTACAAAAGATTCTTCTGAAGATCATGCCCTTCTCTTAGCACTTTCTGCTTTGTTAGCTATTTTAGTGTTGAATATTTTTAACTTTTTTTTAAGGATCACTTGATATCCTTTTAAATGTACACATGTATTCGGAAAGGGAGTGGATATTGAAGTATGCACGAGATGCACAGGTGATTCATCTAATGTGTCGACGTAGAGATAATCCTGGCTCAGACACGTACTGAAGATCGGAAAGCAATAACTTTTTCAGAAAACGTGGAAACTCCACGTGAGAACTCGTGAATATTAGGATTTTCTAGAGCGATCACTTTTTTTAGTTTCATGATGATTCTATGTGGACACGCTCTTGATTTTCTTTTTAACGGAATAATATGAGTCGAATGTATACTTACTTTACGCGTCCGAATTCGTCGCGTGGTACAGGCGGCTTAGCATCGGTACCGATGAGCATGGAACGATAGGATTCGACCTTCTTTACCACCTCTTCAGCAGTGAATCTGTAACGTAAAGAAATAATAAGTTTCATTCTTTGGGAATGTGCCACGAGGTAAGTTATTTGTGTCAACGTTTATTCGAGTTGTATTTATTGAAGCCAACAGTATGCAGCTTAGATACTATGGGTTCCCTGAATCCTGTTAACAGCTAGACATCTGATAAATACTTTAATCAGGTCTATCGAGCACAGGTGTATTTTATAAAATAATATGGTTTGTACAGATAATAAATATATTGTTGCAGTTTGTGGATTTCAGATATAATCTCATTACTGATTTAACACTATGTAAGGGTAGTTGTTGGATAAATGGGTATTACGGGGCACTAGACGTAATTGGTATACTCAACTAGACTCATAAATTAGCACATTAACTTATTGTGTCGTTGCTTGTTTAAACAGCTAAGTCGTTGAATGGAGATTAAATATAAGATTTTTTGGATAAAATGGGAACCAGTTTACTGGATGAAATGATGCCAAAAATAAGTCATTTATTAAATATTTTTATGAATTATATAGTTACCCTTGCTCTTCAAGTATATCTGCAAGTTCTGCACATTTGACTTCTATCTTTCGCTTTCTGACATGATCCAGAATTTCTTTATTCGGTTGTTTGTTCAGTTGATCTAACTTTGCCTCTTCATTTTTGTAGTTGACTTTATCCTTGGTTTTGCGTACAATTGCCCAATTTCTCTGAACATGACCATTAGTTCCTGAGCCACGCGGTGTTTGAAGTCCAATTCCATTATACATGATGTTCTATTCTGTAAAAAGAATTTTTTAATCCATCAATATTTAGTATATATAACATAATAATTTTTATGTAACTCATGCATGAAAAACACTACTTTTCGTGCCTCCGAAGTGTGGCGAAAGCATAAGATCATCTCTACGCTGTATATATTATATTACTCAAATTATATATATATTACTATGGCATCCCAGAATAAATATAATAAGTCTCAGGGCATAAATACTAATGTATGTCAACACAGGATTCTATTTAATAGATGTCGTATCCTCAGAGTTACATATAGGCGGCAAAGTTAACGAATGGATGCTGAAGCAGAGGTTAGAATTGAATGCACGCAAATCAATTATCGATCCGAGGTGATACTGCGCAAATATCCGAAAGAAATAAGAGTGATGCAAATAATCGCAAATTTACCCTCAAGTTGGCCGTTTTCCATACGCAGTGTCAAGCAGATACCTTGTAATCCTGGAATAATTTTCGGAGTAAATTTGACTGCCGAACAGGAACTATTACACAAAGGTCGTCGCACTAAACAAGCGTTACCATTTTACATTCCACTTTTCACTTATCGTTATAAGAGGGCGCCACCAGCGCAGCTACGAATTGCATATGCGCAATCAAACTTTCCATAACTTACGCAATCTGCGCACGCAAATTATATTTCGATTTCGCAACAATTCTCTCACTCTATCGAAAAGCATTTAAATTTAATACATGCTCTGTGCGAATGTTTTATTATAGTTAAAACCGAGTATATTACAACACCATCAATCATCTATAACTAACGATATCAGTTAAGTTTGATCGGTATATTAAATCGACAAAAGAAAAGCGCGCTGCCGTTTCAAGGGAATGGATACAAGTGTATTACTAACGTTGTAACTTATTTTCTCAGGCTTTTTGTGCTACGATCATGGCAGCGCGCAAAACCAAACTCTCGCTTCTGATGTAAAAAATAAATTCAAAAATACAACGAATCCTGTTTTACAGGTACACAGCATCAGACAGTTAAATGATCGTATAAATCATCTAGTATATAAGTAACCTATTAACAAATGGCTATAACATTAAGCTTACTCTATTTATATATTGCCACGTTCGACAAGAAGGTATCGGTATACTTAGAAAAAGCGAATTAATAAAAAAAAAATACCGAAAAGCAAAAGAATTTTTAAAAAAGATTGTAAAAAAAATGTACAGGACAATAGTGCACATACAGATTGTTATTCATGAGAAACTGACATTGGACGACGTGTCACGAAATGGAGCAAATTACTCAAGCTCCGGCCAACGGCTGGCTAATTGCGTGCGTTGCTACGGACATTATGTTTAAAATTGTAATAAAAGCAACGCAATGTATCAAGCGTTATCGATAAGCGTGGAGCACATTATTATTAGCGATGCGACAAACTGAAATTTGTCATTTAAAACTTTGGCAACATTTATGGCACGGCATATAATATGGGAGCGTCCCATCTTAATTTCTCTTATGCATTACACATTACATTGTTTCACATATGTATCATACTTTACACGTTCACCTGTTAAGCTCATGCTCCTCCAGTAACCAATTAACTTCGTCATGGTTATATAACATGAGAATCAAAATTTTTAAAAATTAATTTAAATCAAACACCTACTCATAAGGTATGATTTGTTCAACAATCATTATTGAATTAATATTTTTAATACCACAGTTATTCATAAGTTGCATTGTACCTGAATTTGAGTATCATAATGAAAATCAAAGTTTCAGCTTATTATCTTACTTAATCACGTACAGATTGAGCAAAGATTTTGCTGACTTATAAGTCTGATTAAAGTACTAAGTTTCAGAATAATGAAAAGTTTAAGATTTCGTTATTCAAATATTATGAAAGGACAATGTTTAAAGGAAATTAACGAAAAGGAGTATTTCTCTCATAAAGTATCACAGTCAAGCACTATACATCAAGGAAGAAATAGAGTCTTTGTAATCTAAAGCCAAAGTAAAGTAGAAAGAGGTAGCTTTAAGCAATTGACAGGAAAATAAAAAAAATAGAAATAATTATACGACGAAGTATCTCGTGTCAAAGTGTAATAATAAGTCGAACGTTTTTATAATCTTTTTGACTCGTCTCTTTGATTTGATTATGAATTACCGCGCGCTCGAAAAAAAATAATGATTAGTATACAGCAATATCATACTACCAACATAGACTCACTTTATATGGACAAAAATAAAAAAAATAAAATAAAAAGAAAACATATAGTTACTCACAGACGAGATTACTTCGTCAATGTTATAAGACTAGCTGTAATGAAAGCTTGACGATATACTACGTTTGAGCCTCATTTTTCCTCTACGTTACCACCACTGGTGTGTATAGTACGAATCTCCATGTGTTACATGACAGAACAAAAAATAAAAGAAACGAAACATAACAAGAACTGCTGAATAACTTCGTAATTCTCTAAGCATATAAGACTAAGTTCTTTTTGCTCTCTAACTCTCTTCCTTTAAGTATCAAAGTAGTCTCGAAATTCATTCGCCTCTTTCATATTTTGTCTTATTTATTTTTAAGGAGTATCCTTCATAGACGATGTCTAGTGCTCGATCGACTATCGAAGATATAAAACTAAAGCATATTATTTTTGGTTTTGGATAAAAGAAGAAAAACGGCTCCTGTGTCACGAAGAAACTCTGAAATAAGAAAAAGAGCGATTCGATAATCGATAAAATCCTTGTCTATTCTTAAGTCTAAATTGCTGTACCAAAATTGAATTAGTTAAATTTTGGAGTTGAAGCCTCTTTTTTTTCTTTACATAGGAATACACGAATTCTAGAAAAATTATGAAAATCGCGAGTCTTGAAATAATTATTTCGGTCAGACTATTAAACTCGATGACAGTAGGAGTAGAGCACCGCGACTTCAGTCTATGTAGACAGTCCTTAAAAATTCCAACACATCCCATTTTATACACCGTCACAATGGGAATGTTGCTGAACAACAGTGCCTATAACTTGACGACACGGAGACAATTAAAAATTAGACAGCTATTGTAAATAATTACATCGACGATAACTTGTCTAATGCTAATTAAATTGTAGACGATTAGCGATGGGAAGGACCAGGCAGTGCTTAGATTATGGCGAGCCCATTGTCATCTGGGAGTGGATTCGGTTTGCCTCATTCTGTCAAAGTGGCGCCGATAATTAGCCCGTCCTCGTCCTCTGTTACGGTGACCATGATTGTTATGTCCGTGATGATTATGGTGGGATTGTCGTGGTTGGTACTGATTTAGATTTGATTGTTCAGATTGTTGTTGTGCTGTCTGTTTTGCTTGAGGATGTTGCTATAAAATATTTTTCAAATAATTGATGTAGAATCAGAATCGTGTAGCCAGAATTACGTTCAAAAATATTACAATAAATAGTTTTTATAAAGCTATCTTGTTTACCATTTGAGTAAAAGTGTGTGCTGCTTGATTTGCAAATGCATTCAAACTGGTTCCAGGAGGACTAACTTCTTCTGTGGCTGCAGCAGGATCATCTTCCGTTCTTAGTAACATCTTAACTCCTTCGGCTTCAGGGTCAATAATCCCTCCACGTTGTTGCTGACGTAAGAATAAAGCGGCCATTTGCCGTTGTAATTCACGTAATTCTGCTGTCACTGAAAAGTCTGTGGCTGTTTCAACATCTATTGGAGGTGGAGCAGACCACAGACTTTCAACGTCACAGTTGATGGACTCGCGACAAACAGGGCAAATTGCCTATTTAACAAAGGACATTCAAGGAATTAGATTAACTAAAAGAAATATAATAATTCTATTATAAAAACTTACTTGAAATTTGTTTGTGGAATCTTGCTGCCATTGAGGAAGTTTTTCTTGTTCTTCTCTATAATAACGTTCAGCAGCCGCAACATGGGCTGCTAAGCAATGCGAATGAAAGTGATGATAACACTCAGTTTTGGTGAATTCATCACCCTCACGGAATCCATATAGGCAAACGGCACATTGCCCAGTTGGAAGATTACTATGAGTCAAGTGCTCCCGGACCAACTAATATCAAAATTCAAGATTAATACCATATTAGAGAATAAAAAGAATACATACAGAATACAGAATATTACAAGACAGTAAGATTACTTCGATTAATTCAAACATGACCGGCTGTCCAACAAAATCTTTGCATTTGGCTTCTGCATCCGATTGAATAAGTTTCACCGTATCTTCATCCAATCCTCTAGGATTCCTGAGATTAACACTTGGAGAAACATCTGGATAACCAGGAGGTAATTGAACCACTAGTCTCACACAGACATACTGAGATTGAGAATCCTCTCCCGTTGATGGAAACACCAGAGTCTCTATACATTCTGGCTCACCCCTAAATAATATTCCCTATTTAATAACGAGCCTATAAAAAAAATATAGACAGCTCATACCTCTCATTTGCTTTGATGTTCAATTCATCATCCAGGAGAATAGCCTTCAGAGCTTCTACCTCATCAGTCACCCTATAAGTCACAAGAAATTTCATCATTGACACAGTGAGTTTGTTCCATCTGCAAAGCATTTTATCAAATCGAAGTCACCTTTCATCCACAATACTGTCTGACATCTTTCTGCAAGGAAACACCCGTGATTAATACCTTTCGAAAACAGAGCTTTTTGACAATCCAAGCCTGTTTCGACTTTCGATAAATTTTACAAGGGTTGCAGACAGGACCGTGGCAGACAGCTTAAGCGTCTAGCGTTTCCCAAAGTCTTCTGCTACCAATTGTACCAATGTTATTGTAGGATGCGATTGTGTGTCAAAATCGCACTGCAAAAACAGGGATTTACAGAACTCCAGTCACTGATACTGGCAGTCTAGTTTCTATTGATTCGATTGCATCAAATCTGTATTATCGGTTGTATCTTGAAAATGTACGCTTTAGTGAAGACTATTGACGCACTGAGCACGCGCTGCTCAAATGTTTCCACACACGAGTTTGCACCACTTTCCACTAATTGAAGTTCCTAGGACCTTAGCTGCAACAAGAATCAAATAATAATAATATTGAAAATGAACAAATATTGCACAGTCAAATATAAAGAATACTCTATGCATGATATATATTCTATATTATACTATTTAATTAAAGAAAAATCTATTTCCAAAATTATGTTTTATACATTCTATAATAACTAGTTCTCTAGAAAACTATTGACTCCTCCCACTGCCTCCCACCAAAGCCAAGCAATTTCGTGCAAACAGGTAAGTCTATCCGAAATCAAGGGTTGCTGAAGGATGGAATAACGAATATAGCCGAAGATAGTCGAATGGAAGATGAATATTTTCCTATTCCAAGAAAGTTAATATCGCAGATTCATACTTTTTGACATATTTTTATTTTTTCATAGTTTTACACATTATCATTTTGTTTTTATTTTATATCATTTTAAATATAATTTGTATTTCCTCATTCCACATTAGGAGCAACTTGCTTCTATTTCATAGTAATAAGTGTAAAATCTTTCAGGTTCCTTCATGTGTAAATAAAGATAATGACAATCATGTCAGCAGTCAAACTTCTCTAAATAGGTATGGGCAGATCCTTGGTGACTAAGATGAGAATCTGGTCGATGCCAAGACACCAGTTTGCAATATTTTTAGAAACTTTACACCAGTTTTCTCCATGATGCGGTTCTGCAGCAACGCATCGTTTCTTCACATCTTCCTGTTGTTCTATGGTTCCATTAAGAAGTTCAAATTTGTAAAAATACGCCCAAGCATCCCCAAGATCAGGATCGATTTTCACTGTGCGATTAAACCAATCCCGACATTTCGAGATCTTATGTTCACACCAGAAAAGCCTACAATTAACAATTTAAATAATTATTGCGTTTATCCCTCAATAGTTGGAAATAGCAAGTCCGCCTAATGATCATTTACTCACTTAGATACGGCTAGAAGAACATGTGCGTCATGCTCACATTTTTTCAGTGCATCTACACTCTTTGTTTTACGTTGTGGCCGAGCCTCCATGAAGATAGCTTCTGCCCAAAGAAGACCGGAAGTAGGACATTCTTGAAGAGCTTTTGCCATCAATGTATTTGCCATGTCGCGTACGCCACCAGTTTTCAATTCATTTCTTACAGCTTCTAACCAGAGTTCTGCATTTTTGGGATTACGCAAGCGAGCCTTTTCCAGGACTGATCGAGCCTTTGTTACTTGTCCTTTGCGATGCTCAAGTTGTGCGAGAAGCCGCCATAGCGGAACAGATGTTGGACATTTTTTAATCTGAATAGAAATGTGACTTTTAGCTGCCAATGTAAAATAAATTTTAATCATTTATGATTTTACCGATACTTACGGCTTGATTATATGTTTCCAGAGCTTTATCCAAATTTCCTTGTTGTTCTTCAATCTGCCCCTTCATTAACCATAATTTTGGAAAATCATCGAAAGCTTCAATAGCTTCCTTGAGTAAATGAAGGGCTGCATCAAGATTGTTTAGGGCCCATTCCAATTTTGCACTCTTCATCATCACTCTGGGAGTTGGTGCCGAAGCTCGAGCTTTTGCCAAAAGTCGTCTAGCACGTTCGTATTCTGAATTCTCTGATTCTAATTTCACAGCGGCCAGCCAAATTTCTTCAGAATTTGGATTAGCTTGGAAAGCCAGTGAAAGAATTCCCCTAGCTGCCGGGACATCTCCCTGGAAATTAAAGAATGACTTAGAAGACGTGAAAAATTAAAAATTCAATAAGAATTCGATTCTTACTTACAGCCAGCCACTTAGACTTGGCTCCCATCAGCCAAAGAACTTCACTCTTGGGACAATGAGCAACAGCTCTCTGAAGAAGGGATTCCAGAGATTCTCTGGTTCCATAAGTCTTTTCAAAATAGGCAGCCCTCAACCATATAGATTTCTTACTAGGGAAAGCAGTCAATGCATATGCATAAACAGCCCTGGCACATTCCAAGGCCCCTTGCTGGGCACACTATTAAGGAAAATATTTAAATGAGACAAAGTTAATGACAACCATCAATTAGAAAATAATGTTTTACTTACAGTCTCTGCATCCTCCATCCATGTGTGCTTGCGATCTTCTTCTTCAACACCAAAGCTAATAATAGCCTTCACAATGACTTGACAGCAGTGTACAGCACCAGCTTTCTCAGCTTCCATGGCTTCCTTGAACCAATGCTCCCGATTGATTTCAACGCCATTAGCACTCAGAGAAGAAATAGCCCTGTCAATGATTTTCTCGACCATGTGTTTGTTGCCATTAGCTTCCTCAAGTTTTGCTGCAGTTGTCCAAATTTGTCTGTCTGTTGGAATATTTTCCCTGGCTTTGTTCAGGACTTTCCTTGCATTGTCATATGTTTCAAGTCTAGCCAGAGCCAACCAAAGATCTACACTGGTCGGACAACACTCCACAGCACGACTAAGAAGAATTCGAGCATCTTCTGGTTCTTCAAGCTCTACTGCAGCTTTCCACAGTCTCACAGAGTTGGGAATATGTTCTAAAGCTTTTCGATAAACACGACGCTTCGCCTTTGTTTCCGTTTCGAGATCCGCAGCCTTTATCCAAATTCTCACAGACGTTGGAATATGCCTAACAGATTGTGCTATTACTGCTTTGGCAGTGTCTGGAGGTTGTAATCTGGCTGCTTCTAACCAGAGGTCTTCGGAAGTGGGATTTACTTCGCAACCTTTCATAATCAAGTTTCTGGCAGCTTGAACCTTCCCCGTAACTTCCTCTAAACGAGCAGATGCTATCCACGCTGGAGGATGATTTGGATTGGTCTCACGAACTGATTTCAGAAGCAATCTAGCTTTCTTAATATCATTGATGTCACCACCATAAGTGGGAATCATGCTTTGTAAATCTGTAAGATATCCCTTGGGATCAACTACGGTCTGTCCTTCGACAGAATCTGAAACCTGATTGAGCTTGACGTTCATCAATGTATTTCTAGCTTGTCCAATCTTTCTTAAATCTAAATCTCCGGTAGGAGTCAACATTCCAGGTGTTGCCACTCCTGGCATCATTGATGACAAACCACTTGTGGGATCAATGCTCGTCGCAGTTTCTCCACCGAGATTTCGAGCTAATACAGAATCAGGTAAGGGTGTAAATTTCTCAGTTCGTGGATTACGTTGTTTCCTGTTTCTAGCATCACCCACTTCTGGTACATTCTTCCATTCATCCTCCGATACATTCACAAGTTCTCGTTTCAAGTCGGAAAATTGTTGTTGAATTTTTGGTCGTTCTTGACGATATCGTTCTAATTCTTCACGAAGCCGCTTTTCACGATACTCTTTGCGTTTCTCGTCCATTCGCTTATCGATTGCTTCATAAATTGCGTCAGCTTCTTCATCATCTTTGTCATATGGATCCTAAAATACGAACAAAGAATTACAGACAATCGATACAATTCCTAGCTACAATAACAGTATCATCTTACTTTGCTGAATAAAGATCCTCCATAGCCAGAAAATTCATCATAATTTGAATCATTCAGATCCTCCTCATCTTCCTCTTCTTCCTCTTTTTTCTTAGCCCTCTTAGTAGGTGGTGCATGTCTATCATCCCTGTGTATAGAAATGCAATTAATACTCCACACTTAATATGTATACTAATAAGTAGCTCACTATATGGACAGATACTAACGAAACGTCGTTGGCGTCTCGGGCAGGTCCGATATCAGAACGTGTAGTAAATCCTGTTGCACTAGAAAACAAATCCGAAATAAGGTTATGACATAGATACACGTTTTAATTTATCATAAAACTCAAATAAATAAATATGTCAAAATACTCAAAAATTCTAATTACCCTCTTCCAACACCAGCTACGTATCCCAAAGGAGCTGGTACTCCAAGAAAATGCTTTTTATTCCTGGTTGACAGAGAAGCCGATGGGACTGCCATTTTAGCATTTCACATTGTTGGAATGGTGCAGAATGGTTCCAAAAGAGGCGGCATTCATGACTTTCGGAGTTATATTACATACATTTGTGTGATATTAAATTTGAAATAATTCCATAATCAATTCAGCTGCTTAGAAATAACTTATTACGGTAAGCAAAATATCACTGTAACATTTCACTTTCATGATATTTTCAATATAAATATTCGGTATAAGAAATAAATGTATACCAAACATTATAGACCAAGTTAAAGCATTGTTGAGTAGAACTCACGTTTTTGAATTTCCTTACTAAACAATACTGAGATATACATAATAAGATTTGTCATAAGATCCAAGCGCAAAAGGAATGCATATTTTGGAATATCATTTCTTGTAAATCATTTTTCTATTTTCTTTCTTGCGTTAAAGTGCAAGGCCATTTTAGAACAGCCAAGCAAATAGATTGGCGCATGACATGATTTTTAGAATCAATCTTCGCTGATCTTCGCGCCTGTGCGGTAAGGGTAATTATGTTCCTTGCACGTTCTTTGGAACGTGATTGCTCTTCTACTGAGATTGAGGTAAATTTGGAGGAGATAGTATTTTATCGTTACTTCGCGGATATCCGTAGCTGTTATTGAACCATGCTCTATAGTGTTTAAAATTGAATACTTAAGGTAGTTAATATTATCAAGTTTTATCTGGTGCACAGTGACAGATTTGTTAGAACAATTAAATCAACGTAGGTAAGCAATTGAACTTCATGTGACAGCAAGTGTAGGTTTTTTGATATACTTTTTAACGTTACAACACTTAATTTGTATGATGTAGAATAGCAACTTACCATGCAGCTTATCGAGACCTTTTGCGACCTCGGTATTACAGCAATAGCTAATCTTCAAACTACGTAAGTTTAAGATGACAAAAGATTATAAATAATATAGTTTCTGTGATGTGATATAATCATAAAGTACGTATTCTTTAATTATAATTACATAAATAATAGTATTCTTCATTTTCAGATTCCTTGATGGAGAAAAGTTTTTTCTACCCATTTCGAGAGCAGGTGATCCAGATTATGCTTTTTCTGTAATATTTCCACTACTTGCTATAATCAGTACCAAACTCTCATCTGAAGTACTGGCAGTATCGCTAGTGGCAGAGTGGTTAAATACGTTACTTAAATGGATACTTATGGAGCACAGACCTTACTGGTATATATTTAACAACAATTTTTGCTTAGATTAAATGTTTGACTAATAATCTTTTTTATGTAATGAGTATTATTCTTCTAGGTGGGTGAAGGAAAGAGAATTATTAGTCGAACATGCATACCCAGTGTTACAGCAAACCCGATTATCATGCGAGACAGGTCCTGGATCACCATCGGGTAAGACTTAACGGTAAATTATGCTCCATGACATTTGCTAATCCAAGCTGAAGGAAATCTGAAATCAAGAATGCAAAACTCCTTGGTCAACATTTTAAAGCAACTTCACATATTCATATTCGAACAGCATATGTTAAATATTTTCATTCTAGGTCATGTAATGGGTTCAACTGCTGTACTCTTTGCTATTGTAGCTTCGCTCGATGAGATTCTAAGTAAAAGTCGTAAAATAAGGTAAAATCCCAAAAATTAGAATCATTTTGCATTTAAATTTAGTAATACACTCAAAATCTAATTAATGACGCTTACAGTCATCGAACAAAAGCAGCTGGGAAATATATATTATGGATTTTGTTTGGAGCAAGTCTCATCTTGATTGCAATGTCAAGGCTATACACAGCAACACACTTTCCTCATCAATGTTTCCTTGGATTTTTAGGAGGTACGATTCAGGCCATTTCTGATACATAAATAAAGTATAAATTGCAATAGACATTATATCAAGTTCTATTACAGGATTGTATGTAGCAAAGTCCTTACTATTAGATACTAAGATGTCGACATGGTGGAGAAATTCTAAAAGGCCAAAGGTGCTTCTAGCAGCTTTAGGAATGACAATGATTTCATTCGGAGCATATTGGCTCCAAAAGGGTTTAGGTAAATTTTCTGTAAAACTAAATTATCTTTGATACCAGTATTATTTACCTTGTCTGTTTTTCTCAGGTATTGATCCACAATGGAGCGTTAAGCTTGCATTCAAATGGTGCAGCAAGCCAGATTGGATTCATGTCAACACAACTCCACTCTTCTCATTGGTCAGAGATTGTGGTGCTGCGTTTGGTATAGCTCTTATTTCTCCAGTATCAATGCGGTGAGTTCGTCCGTTATTATATAACTTGGCAAGTGTCTAAAAATCATTTTCCTAACGCAGGTACACATCTTTAGGAACGTCAAGTTGCATCGTGAAGGGAGTATTGATAGGCGGCGTTATGGTAGCCATGCATCTTGCCCAAGCAGCAATTCCGATAGGTCACGTATTGACCTTCTACCTCTGTCAATTTATGCTATACGCAGTACAACCATACATCTATTTAGTGATCGTACCATTTCTAGCGACGCAACAGAAAGTCACAAATAAATCCGATTGACTCTCAGTATCTATTAGTAGATTAGGAATAATTCATTAGTCAAATGATTCTTGGTTGCCCCTTATATAAAAAGATATAAATACCGATAGATTAATTTTGTAGAAAACGAGGCTAATGCACAAATCCCTAAGACATAAACATAAACTAAACTAGGAGATAATGACCTACCTCTTCCACAAGGAATGAGAATTCAGCAAGTGCATCATACTCTCTAAAAGATGCTGATTGTGTAGATAGTCAGAAAGCTATAAAGAATATAATAAGCAATTTAATGTTTATGATTTATTATTAATAATAATAATTGTTTGTGCAAAATATACTAACATTAAATTATTATCTCAGATAGTAAAATTGCCTGTACATTTTTCTTCGACAGATAGGCATCATTTCATATTATTAAAAAGTAGGTGATTCCTCAATAAAATATATTATTAATAACAGCAAGTTAAGCAGGCACGTCAGGAAGACTGCGTGCTTCTCTCGCTATGTCCATTTTACTTCCCGCCATGTTTGGCTCGTCGCTCGCTCTGTCTTTCCCTCTATATTTTTGTGCCTCGCCTTCCACATTCATAAATCTAGCTATACATACGCACTCTAGCAGCACAGAGACAGCATACTTTTTTTCCTTGTTCGATTTCATTCAAGCCGTTCCTCATTTTCAGAAACAATCGTCCTTCATACAGTTAAACTAGTATTGTCGACGGTTTCCGATAAAGTAACAATACTGTATCCACATTCATGCATCACCCATTTTCCCTGGCAAAGCCCAAGAGCGAGAATCGTGAACTATTGTATTAAACTCTTATGATTTTGAACGTCAGGACTTACTAATGCCATTTTTATTATTATTTTTTTTTTTACAAAACATAGCAACAATCATATCCTCGCGCAGGATATAAAGAGATGGCTCGATTCCCGAATCCGCTCAGTAGATTTTCTGCTGTACAATTACTTTTTCTTTTTTTTTTTACCTTCCCAGTTACAGTCACCAGGATCAGACAAGGCTTATTACGGCCAAGAACGATTATTGATTTCCGTGTACAAGTAAAACATAAAATGCACCGTGGCCAAGGCGTTCGGTTAAAAGAAGAGGCTCGAGAAAGGAAAGAGAAAAAAATAAAGGCTACTTCTGAAATTCCAAACGGAGATACATTATCCAGTTGGCGCTAACGAAAGTCGATCAAGGAAAGAAATAAAGTGAGAACAAGTAAAAAAAAAAGTCCTTTGCCACGTGTCGTAAAAAAATAAAATATCTGTATCGATACACGGTTCTAGTAATCGTTCCTCTCTAACAGGTAAACGACGCTTTACCTGATCGAGATGACGATGCATAACGATCGACGCACTTCTTTATCTTAAATAGTGTGAAAATTCAAGATGCACCCATCCGCGAGTGTCTTGGCGTCTATTAGACGAATCTTTCGGTATAATCCAAGGGATGATGATGATGATGAAGACAAGGGACAAGTATCGCACAACCATATATATATATATAAATATATATATATAAATCGATCACATCTCCCGTAGCAAAATGTAAAGAATATAGAAGAAAGGCGATTCACTGGGCAATCTGCGTCCTCGTACGAAGCTCCAAACGTCATGCGTTTCCTCCGCACACGGAATAGACAGTTTTGCGCAAGCACATAACAGTTATCACTCGTATATAAAACTCCAATGGTCCATTGAGTTCTGCGATGAGAAACTCTAACAAAGTTTTCTACGATTCACTGCACGATCGATCAGCCAAAGAGGAAGTTAGGATTGGATCCTTTGAGATGTGGGGAAAATCAGAGTTCGTGAGGTACTGACTACGGGAGTAGAGGACCTGGGGAATTTAAAAAGGGTCGCAAGTGCTACCCAGATTGTTCCGTTGGGGAATCCGACTGTAGACGATCCACTCGATACCGATTGTACTGTCTGTACGGGGAGCGACTCTGATCGTTATCGGTAACCACTCGTGTCCTGTGGGGTATCAAATTTTCATATCGGCCCATTAACCAGTCCTGGCACTGACGATGTTGCGTATCGGCTACGTTTTTCGACGCCCAGCTCCCCAACCACCGGTGGAATTTTACATTTAGACGCTTCGTCACTGCCGGATGACACTATTAAAAAGAAACAATTTTTTATTACTTCGCTCTAGAACAATTTCTTCATTTTCTACTCTAGACAAACAACAGGAACAAGCTCGGTTCCTTCTCCATACCTCTCTGGCACGGGTAAACGAGTTCTGCTTGTACAGGACAGCTTCCTTGTTGGCGACGTAGAGCATGTGATAGCTGTTAGGATTGAATCTGCATTGGGTATCGTCCGAGGCGACGATGTCAGAGCCATCCCCTGTATTCGTGATCCTCAAAGCCGGTGGCCTTTCTAAAAGGGCGCCGACGCTCTCCAATGTTTTCTCAGCGTCGTTACTACTAAAAAATAAAAATATTGCCTTTGTCAGAGACACGGTAATCATGAAAATTTACAACGATAGGAATCCCAGATATACTTACTTCGCAATTTTCTCCCCGTGAACGGCATTACTCTGGGCATTCGATCTCATCGTCCTGGCTGCCTGTTTCCTCCACTGTCTCACATTTCGGCAGAGAAAGACCGGCTTGCGACCTGCCAATAGTCGCCCTGACGAGCCCCAACCGTTTCCATCAATCTACAACAATTATTCCTCGTTGTCACGTGACTTTGTACGATCAGGAACTCCTTATTCCATTATGCGACATTCGTCATCGCTCGGTCGCTCTCCAAGAGGAAAAAGCGTTCCGCCAAAAAAAAAAGATCCATTTCTTTTTTTCTCAAAATCAAATCGCTAAAATTAACCTCAAATCGCATTCCAGGTATACAGAAAATAACGAAGAACGTCACGAGTGTCTGTAAGTGACAAAAAGTTCTTTTTTTGAGTTCCAAAAGAAAAAGAAGGGAGATAAGCATCAAAATTATAAGATCCGCTTGTGTATACATATAAACACACGCGGGACGTATATAAATATAATTCTATAGATTAATTAATAATGCTAATAAAAAAATTATAACCAAAGATCAACGCACCGCGACTAAATCTACTAAAGTAACTTAAGCATAAAGATAGAATTGTCCTTCGTGTTAGAAAAGAGATATATTATTCATCGAGCTGATCTTTGCTCGTAACAGACAAATGGACAATGGCGTGCGGCATAATTTTCTTTCACTTTTTTTCGTTTGGCGAAAGAGAGCGAACGAGAGAAATAAAGTGGAGCGGAACTAAATAATGTCAGAAGAGGAAAAAAAAAAAGACACAGACAGGCAGCGATCCTGTAATTCTACGTCAGCAATAAATTCAATAGAAATTCGAGCGAACAAAGTTTTCGTTGAAGTAAAAAAAAAAAAATTTACAAAAATTCCAGAAAAAAAAATACCAGTAAACGAAAAAAGTACTCATTGTAATAAAAAAATGAGTCCAACCGTACGGTCAGAGAATTTGAATGAAAAAAATTAAAACGCTATTTGCGCTTTTTCCTTTTCCACAAGAGCCAATGAAAATTGTGTTATCGGTTAAGGAGGTAAAGAAAGACAACAGAAGAAGGGTAAGGGCGCCGATGTGGATCGACGTTGAGTAAAAGAAAAATTAAACAGTCGATAAGAGGTACGAGTATGTAGCAAAGTAAAAAAAAAAAAACTACATCACATATAAAACATACGAAGAAAGCAACGAAAAGCTATAATCGTGAAAGAAACGAAAACTGATACAATTTTCGTGGTACAAAAATGATGTTAGACGATAATGTTTAAAAGCATCGTTCATGTATTTCAATATCTCTCTCTTCTATACAATATATTTCTCATTTTATATCACTATATGTATATTTACTTCATTATATAGTTTACAGTTACAAAATATATATATATATCTTATATATATATATATCGAGATTAAAATCCATCATATAAAG